ATGTGGAGGGGATGTAGAGGGCTTGTACTCCGTGGAGACAGGATAGATTTTGATACACAGCAGCAGCCGGATTGCAAACTTGATGGCCATGGCTACACAACGGCTTCTCTCCACACGGACGCGCCGTTGACCTTATCCTGTATCTACCGCCTGCCGGCGCATAGACGCATAGACTCCAGTATCATCGTCATCGTCATCGTCTCACATCCTGGCAGGCTGACATGATGGCTCGTAGCTACCTGCGTTCCAGAACTCCTCGGCGCTCGGTCCCACCACCTGATGGGCCCCCCTCTCCTTGTAGAACGAATCGGAATATGAAGAACCCGCCCCTGTACATCTGGGAGAGCAAGAGAAGATAGAAGAATGGTAGCACAAAGTAATAACCAAAAGCAAGGCGGTGGTGGGTAATGCAGTCCGACTCCTGGGATTCTAGCTCCCCTCTCCTCTTCTCTTTCTCGCTCTTACTCTCTCGCGCCCTGTTAATTGTGGGTTTCCTGCGAGGGCCGGTCCGGACCCGTCAAGCAACTGGAACAACACCACGGTCGGGGGTCCTTTGTCTTCCAATCCCATACAAGCACACTAAACTACACCGTGAGCGATCCCTCGCGAATGGATGGGCTCGGAGTCGCTGCCGAGGTAGCATATGCAAGCCCCCTCTTAGTTGGATCGACAATCTTTTCCTGGGACACGACGAGTCGTGTTTACGGGATCCGTGAGTCTGGTCATGGCCACAACCAGCGAGACGGGTTGGAAGGATGAGCGGATGAGAATGGGATGAGATGGGACTAGAGAGAGGTCTTACCATCGGGGGGTGGACGGGTGGTCTGATCGCGTGGTTGCAGAGAGGATTAATTAACGTCAAGAAATCGCACGTTGCTTCTTTGGCGCCAGCAGCAGCAGCAGCTACAGCAGTTGCAGCAGTTGTTGGGCGTTAGTCTCAGGAAGTTGTTGTTGCTGACGACCTCAAGGTGCGTCGTTCAAGGCGACTAGCCCGGTTTCGATCGGATGTTTGGCTCTTGACTTGGCCTGGTCTGCTTGCTGTCTGTCCGCAGTACGGAGTGCCTGCATGCACGACGGCGATAAAGAAGATTTAGATTTGAGGGGGCGGGGCAAAGGCCAGCTTACAGGCGAGGCATCACCACAGTTGACGACAGATAGACAATGCAGCTGATGAGCACAGTACAGTACCTCAATCCCTAAAATGATCGGTGGTAACCAAAAAGAGATAAGAAAAAACAATGCCTGCAGTGGCAGCAAAAGAAGGCTTGCAGCAGTCAAAGAGTGGCGGCCGACGCTGAGTGGTGGATATTAAGGCCCAATGGCAGATAGAATCCTAGCTTCCTCGCAGCTCTCTCAACCCATGGCCATTCGTTGGTGATCTCGTCCGGACATGTGGTCGTTTCCTAGTAGTGCATGAAGGATCGGTAGGGTCGTTGGTGGCATTCAGATCGCCCGTTCGTGCAGTCGGTTAGAAGAATTAGAGGACTTATGGACGTACTCCGTAGAGGACTGGAAGGGGGGAGCTTCACCCACTCCCAAGCCGAGGAATTCCCATCTCCGGACCTCCTGCCTTCCTCTCCGGTCCCTTTTTTTGTTCTTTCTGGGGGGGATGGATGTTGTTACCTTACCGAGTAGTGACTGCCGGGGATAGACGGCTAGGGACAGGGTGCGAAAAAACTTACCTACGATAGCTCGATGCTCGATGCTAACGAGGAACTAACCTTGAAATGTCTATCTAGTCTCTATCTCGTCATAGTCGCAAGGCGATCTGAGCACGTACCCTTCCAGCCAATTGTGCCGGAGCTACCACCCCTGTAGGTTCAAGGCACTATGTATCAAGGTGCTTGTCTACGGGATTGTCTCTAGGAGAACTAACTACTCATTGTATACCTACCTCTCCTGTAATGTACTTCATTAGTGCTGTTAGGCTGCTAGCAGGAGTAGAAACAAAGCAATCATGGACAGTACAGTACGCACAGGACGGATAGTGGCCGGCTGCACACTTGAGAAACGTCAGGCTATTGTTGCACTCGAACCGTGCTTCCCCCGATCCGCTGCAGCTGCAAGCTGTAGAGTAGCAATACGGAGACATCAATCAACATGTGTAATACTCAGAAGAGCAGTGGATCGGGATTGTGCCCAGTGGCTGATTGCAACAGCATCGATCTTCATCTTCCGCGACAGATGTGCGTTTGTGGTTGGATGGAATCGCAATCTTCATTTCAATTCCGCCTATTCATACAGTAGGCCAATAGATAACCAATGGCGATAGACTAGACTAAGGTAAGGTAGAAACCGTGGACGGGCTTTGCAATCCCATCCCATCCTGGCGGAACCCCAGTCACTGAACGCATCCACCCGGAAAACTAGCGAGTCAAACTGAAGTAAGAATGGGGAGTGAACAGGTAAAGTCTCATCTGGAACCGAACTAAACCAATTGAACTAAGCTAGTAACGCCCGACCGATGACGGGAAAGAAATCAGAAAGGAAAAAGAAAGACTCCCTGGCAGTCAATCAGTGTCAGTGTCAGTGTCGGTGTCAGTAACCATGAAGCAGGATGTCATGTATGGTCTGGCAACCCCGCGCGCGCGCGCCCGGTCGGTTTCTAACTTTTAGATTGCCATAGTCAGTCTAATTAGTGGTTCTGTCTCCAAGTTGTCTCAATCCATCTGGAATTATCTTTCTTTTCTTCATTGCTACTGTCCTGTACTGTTGTGGTTGTATTTCTGGTGTTCTTCTTCGTGTTGGTGTTGGTGTTGGTGTTGTTGTTTCTTTTCCCTCTTTTTCTTCTCCATTTTCCTCCACTCCACCTTTTTCTCTCCCCCGAACAAATGATTGTTCGTGCTGGGGCGAGACCACAAAAGAGCCAAAGTTTTCCTTATTAATATCCATATTAAAGCCTTCCCTCCCTCGGACCTCCCCCAGATCCGACTGACAACTGACCTGATCCTACCAACGACCGACGACCAACGGCCAACTACTACCAAGTTTAACTCCCTACCAATTTACTACGAGGTACGAACTATTCTTACATACTACCTACGGTTACTACTCCTACTACCACTACTACTGTACACACACACACACACACACACACACACACACACACACACCACTTGGTTGGTTGGCTACCTTCGCTTTTCTCTTCCCTTCCGTCTACTTCCCCTTGACCTTTTCCTTACCCTCCTCCACCTTTTCCTTCTCCCTTCTCCTTCTCCTTCTACCACTTTACTCAAGGTGGTAGTTTCTATCGCCGCCCGAGTAATGATCCTCATTACTTGCCAGTGATTAGTCGGTCTTTTTTTTTTCTTTGCCACCTGTAACCTGACATCCTCTCATCCTCTTTTGTTTTCTCTTCCCTCAATTGGTTCTTGTTGATACCTCTTTGGGTCAATCCCTCCCCTTCTCCCCCATCACACATGCTTACTTGATACCATAGTTCGTACGTGTGACTGGGTTCCCCTCCGTATGCACGTTGGCTGTAAGACAAAAAAAAAAGCTTTGACGACATTTTGAAGGTCTGAGCATCACTATTTTTCTTATTTCCTTCCCTCCTTCTACTTGGTCTTTTGGTTGGCAATTAGTTTCTATGTGAGACACCTACACAATCACGGTCTCTTTCCCCTCTTTTGTCGGGGTTTTCCTGAGGACACTGGTCTACACTTGGACTCTCACATCATCCTCAGCTGTCGACAATGCAGACTTGATCTGCTACTCTGTGTGCTGTGTTATGTGTGATGTGTTTGCATTCTCTCTTTTCCGGAGGCTCCCATGCACCAACCTATACTATACATACACACATACCTGTTCACTGTCCCCTTCCTTGCTCTCTCCCCCTTCCTCTTCCTCATCTCGCTCGATCGATGACCGGCAGACATGCCTCTACGAATGACCGAGTAGCATCGGGTGTTCTGGGTTATGGTTTTGAATCTGCGTCTCGGATGTCAGGCGGGCTGCGTGGAGTGGACCAGGAGGGGTGAGAGCGATCGGTCCGGATGCGACTGGGTGGACAATTGTCTATCCCTCCCCGAATTGATACGAACCGGTGTCATTCCTCGACCTCCTCGCCTGTTAGTCAAGTGCAAGATTGCGTATCTTCAATTCGCATTTCCGAACCGCATTCCTTGTTCTGCCCTCTTGCCCGGTGTTTTCTATTGGCCCATCCCGCTCTTTCTTTGCTCCCTAAGCCGCCATCGCTCTCTCTTTCACTGCATTCTCGATGCTTGCTGTGACACATGTCTGGACTATCTTCGTTGGTTCCATGGCACTACTTCCTGTCGTCGAGCCCTGGCGGGAGTATCTCCGGTGCTTGTTTCATTGGTCCGATCGCATTCACAGTGACGGTTTATCTCGGACACTTCTCCTGAAATCTTGTCGATTGATGGAAGCCCATGCTAAGAATGCTGCACAGTAGGCTCTTACATCACTGAAGAACTCTCGAACCGGCACGCCTCTCCTGCACCGAGGATCAGGCACAGCAAGGCGACCAGACAGAACCTGGCGCCAGATCATGCTGCATTGTCTGGTGGGTATTACGTGCTCCGGCTGCGATCCCTGCTTGATGACCGAGAGGCCGTTGATATTGACCATCATCCCTCCGTTTATAAGGTATCTCGACACTTCTGATTTCCTCCTCTGTCGGTGACCACCTTCCTCCTTCAACTATTTGGCCTCTCTAGTCTTCTGTGCGATGTCCCTGTCGGGTGTATCCTGGAGTCACTACTACCCCGTCAACCAACTTCCGACAAGGCAGGAATCCGTTTCCGGACTTTTCCCACAACATCCTCATTCAGCCGCCTTCTTCAACCACCACGGGGCTGCTCCCCATTCTAGGCCTCTCAATCGCCCCACTCACGGCCACAGATCTTTCAACATGAACACCTTATCCACCGACGAGATGGAGAAGTTCCAGAAACTCTCCAATGAGTTCCAGGCCAACGTACAGGTGAGCTCGTCTATGACGGCCCGATAGTCCCATCGAGCCCGGCTCATGGAACAAGCAGGGTCCCGCGGTTTCGACCAAATTATCGAGTAGCATGGTCGCCATGGAATATGCCAATGCCGATCCTGCCTTCATCACCAAGACTGCAGTCAGTTTGGGCCCTCCTGCTCCTGAGGATGACTCGCATGTTTGACCAGTATCTTAGGCACTTTCAGTAACACATCCCCTGGTACGCACTATGAAGGGAGACGGAAACTGTGGCTGGAGAGGTACTTGCCCATGCATGCCTGGAGCAACTTGTCCGCTAACTCCGTGCAGCGGTCGCTTTCGGATATTTTGAGAGCATTCTCAAACTACAGAATCTGGTGCTCGCGCACGACGAGCTGAACCGGATCAAATCGCTCAATGTGCTCCTGGATCGAACAGGCCAACAGGAACATCTGTACGAAATCTTCGTCGACGCCACGGAAGGTGTCTTCCATCAGATCATTGAAGCGATCCAGAATGGCATCATTGACGACACGTTTCTGGTCGAGGCCTTTAATGAGGAATACAATGCCAGCGCCATCATCACTCATTTCCGAGTCAGTCTTGTTCGTCTCGTGATTGAGTTCGTGCGACTGACGTATGACCACAGCTTCTCACGAGCGCATGGATGAAATTGAACGCCCTACGCTACCAAGCTTTCCTGTCGCTGCCGGTGGATCAGTACTGTGCGACACGAATCGACACGGTGAAAACTGAGATTGATGAAGTCGGCCTGCAAGCGTTGGTGGATGGGGTGATTGAGGCATCCGGATTTGCGGTGGAGATCCTCTATCTAGACCGCAGCGAAGGGGATGTCGTCACGCCCCACCTTCTCACCCCAAACCGGGTGACAGCAGCCACGATCTGCTTGCTGTACCGCCCGTGAGTGCGCGACTCTTCGCTGTCATGTTGAGTATGCTAATGCGCGACCAGGGGCCACTACGACCTTCTCTACGCGGTCGAACCTACTGTGAATATGGAACCCGTGGTCAATTATCAATACGCAATGACTTCTAACTACTCCCCCTGGGATCAAGGTGCACTCTCGTTCGACGTCAACTCCAGCTTGATGTCGATCCCTAATCTGATGATGGACCCGTCATTTGCGCTTGCGCCGTCGCCCATGCCTTCGGCTTCACCCAGTCCATTCCGTGTCTCGCCGCCCCATGAAGTGTATGCGCCACCCATTATGCACACCTCACCACCCCCTCCTCCGATTTCGCTGGCATCGCCCCCGCCCCCTCGGATGTCAGCCCCACCAGCTCCGTTGTCATCGTTGCCTCGCAAGTCGGATGGCCCTCAGATCCGGCTGAATCCGCTGGTGATGAAACCGAACTTGAGTCATTCGCTGCCTGTGACGACTCCGTTCAAAAAGTAGTATGACCTATGGATTCCTTCACTCTTAGAAGTGGCCATGCTAACGAATGGTTAGTTCTCCGTACAATCAAGCGCATTTCCAGAACCAGGATTTTGAGCCTATCCATTGGGAGCCCTCCGACCATCGGAAGTAGGGTCGCGTGAGATTCTCCCTCGCCTGTTATTCTACTCGACTACGATCGTTAACGACTGAACATATGTTCTTTTTCCTTCTACTACACATTCAATACACTGCTAGGCTTATTTCGGGTAATGGACTGGGTGTTTTTGTTTTTGCGTTTGCTTTCTTGTGTTAATCCGTTCGGATCAGTTTCATTCTTGCAGGAATCCCTTTCGATCAATTCTAGCATTGGTGAAGTCAGGGGGTAAGTGATTTGTTGTGTGTGTGTGTGTGTGTGTGTGTGTACCAAGTACTAGTGAGATTCTCTTTCGGTAGGATGTGCTTTAGCGTCTGCGGTCTGTGGTTGTTGCATGGAGGCGAAGCGCGGTGCAGTTGACTCACGAAAAAAAATCAAAAGAAATGAACTAATCGTCGAGAGGATAATCATGTATATCATGTAGTCAGGAATTCCGGCATTCAACTGCCGGCCCCTTTCGATTGGTATGCTACGTAGTATACGACTTATGTACAGTACCTAGGTAGGTATAAGGGGTTAAGGTATAGCCGTGGCTTCGGCTCCGGAGAAGCAGGACGCGATCTCGTTGGCCGCCATGGAAATGAATTCCAGCTCGACCAATGACACGACCGACCGGGGGCGAGGGCCGAAGGAGCTGGAAGCATCTCCGCCTCTGCGCCGGCGCGCGCAAGGATGGGATGGAATGGGATGGGGTGGGATGGATGGGCCGGGGTCTCTTCCAGCCCCTTGCAGGTGGCTGACCCGGCGCGGGCCACTGGGAAGAATGGGTGGTGAAGATTCCTTGACTAGGTATTCTGTACAGTAGACTACAGCACAGCCGATAGTGCCTACCTTGTACTGTACTGTAGTTGACCATCTCACATGATGAGTTAGTCTGTACGGTACGTGCGTGGCCTGCATGCATGCTTGTTGATGTAATTGTGGAACGACTCGCGAGGTATAGTCTGGACTGTTCAGGCTGTGAGGTTGGCTTGGGTTTATGGTGGTGTGGCCAGCGACTTACTACTTCACGGTTATCTATTGTGGCCCCCCAGCAGTGTACAGTACCACTTCCCAACGCAGTCGAGCTGCATCGATGGGAGGGCGTATTCGTCTCTGCTCCTCACTCACTCACTTTGCCTAATGATAGCGAGGAGGAAAGAAAGAAAGAAAGAAAGAAAGAAAGAAAGAAAGAAAGAAAGAAAGAAAGAAAGAAAGAAAGAAAGAAAGAGGCTCTACTACAGAACCAGTAGGCTACAATCCAATACAGTCCAGCACCGGTTCGATCTGCTACTCTTCTGAAATGTGTAGTCCAGTGGTCCCTAAGTCTACTGGATGAAATGGCAACGCATATACTGTACGGAGTACATCTCCTGCTAGGGCCGAGGCTGGGGCTGAGGCTAGACCTAGGGCTCGGGCGAGTTGACATCACCCGGTTGTTCGGGAGCTTGCTTGTTATTATTACTTTTCTTTCAGATAATGGGATTGGGAATGGGAATGTCTCTTTTGAAGACTTGGTATCGTGTATTATATTGATCGGAGGACTCACACGCACGCACACACACACACACACGCGTGTAGCTATTTCCTGCGGAATGATGTAAGGTGGGTTGTAGTTCACTTGTCGTGCATAGCCCTCACTGCCAGGGTGGGGGCAGTCGAAGTAAGGAGTCGGTGAGTGATTGGGGAGTTCGCATGGAGTTCCAGGTCAAGGTTCGGCTCTATTTAGTCGAGTAAACTTGCCTGATTCTGACACCTCGGATGATAACCTTGAAGTACCGAGGGGGTCTACGGCATGGTGTGATGCATGAGGTGGGTTGGAGATGGGACTACGGTATGACTGCGTGAGCTACGACTGCGTCTACCGTCTTCTCTTGCTCATAGCACAGATGTGGCGCAACCAGTGGAGGGTTATTCCTATTACTGTGTAGGTGGTTTGGTGGTTTGGTAGTAGGTCCCGCTTGCGAGAGAACTGGTTGCATGCTGTTTGTACAATTATGCTAAAAAAAAAAGTATCAACATATAAGGTACCGTATGTAGACAACTGTGTGCTCCGTATATCGCAACCTTAGACAGGTGTCTTGGTGTAGAGCATCGGAGCAGATCACATCCTCTCTCAATCATCCATGCATTCATCCTGAGGCATCTTCAGGCGTCCTTGAGGGAATGTTCCGAGTCGGGCCGACCTCGTGACCTGCAGCAGCAGGCGAGAGAACGAAGAATGCAGGCCTGAGACCCGAGCCAGGTCTGCACTCCGTAGAGAGCTCTGCAGTGTTCTTACCGCTACCGCCTTCGGCCTATTGTTGGTAAACGTAACAAGAGCATGGTCTTGCCGAAGTCTCCCGTTTTATGCATCAGGCCATCCGCGCCACGCTGCCAATATCTTGACACTTCTTTCACTCTGGAAAATATGGCATTCATAAGCCAACCGTTGTTCCAACAGAACAGAACATTCGACCGATAGAAAACTCATCGGGAGTTCATCAAGCCTGCGGTATGATCATGTAAAGCATCGCTTCGAATACCCCAGTCCGATCGGGTGGAGACATCGGCTGAGATTCCCGTTGTTCCTTCGCAGAACATTGCGAGTGAGTCACTTCCAATACACTCACCATCACAAAAATCATGGCAAACGACGAGTCTCTTAGCCACTTGTGACACTCGGGTTCGAAGCCGCTCGGGGCTTATGGTCAGGAACTTGGTCAAACAAAATCGTGCTGTGGTGCAAAGTTCACCCATTCCGTAAAATCCATGCCACTTAAATTCAACTCCTGGTCAACATCAGGAAACATACTGCCAAAGGTCGGATCAGTGAACAGTTGGTCGTTGAATGGCATTACGATTGGGGGCGCCGCTCCCGCCGTTCGACCGGTCGCGGCACTCGTATACGCAGGCGAACACAGCCGGTTGACAACTTCCAGGCAGCGAACAGCCAGTCGATTGTTGCTGAGGGAAGGATGAATGAGCAGCTTCTTGGTGGCTTCTATATCTTGGAGCCATGCAGGAGCGTCTGCACTGGTGGGATCGGTCATGAGCATGATAATTGGGATCAAACCAGCCTGGAAGAGGAAGTACCTGCCGAATAGATTAGTCAACCATAGACAACCCCAAAGCAGAGACCGTAAACATACAGCATGTACCAGGCTCCAATTCTTGTGCAGACATGATTGTTCACAAAGTCGGTGATGGACGAAATGGAAAGTCGAGCATTTCGAAGACAGAGCTTCCGGCAGTCAACCTCGAAAGGATCTTCAGGCTCTGACGCTGTATTCTGCTGGGTCCATCTCCGTGATGCCCATCGGAGGAGTACCGGTCGGTAAAGAAGGATTCTCAAGTTCCAATCCCTCCACATCATGCGGTTGCGGACGAGCGCAAAAGTGTCGGAAACCGGTAGTGGCGGTTGCTTGAAGTAGTCGGGAAGACCATTGTACCATTCCTCCATTGGCTTCTGGAGGCCCAGCGTTTCTTCCGCTGTGAGACTGGGTCCCGAGATGAGGCGTTGGTAAACGCTGTTTGTAAGTAAGTGGAATCGAGCTTGAGCTATCAACCCCGAATAGAGGGTTGGTTCTGTGACTTCGACAGGTAGCGTGGCGGTGGCGGGGGTGAGAGCCTGAGAATTGTCAACAACCAGACAAGAGCCGGGACGATGGTCTATCTTCCTACCTCGTCATGAATATTCAGGACGTGTTTTGCATCCATGACACTATCTTCGGGCAGTAGAATGGGCCGGCCGAACGTCTTCGCCGCACCACTGTCGAAAATGTACACTCCCCACCACAAGCGTCGCCTGATCTCACGCTGGAGAAGGCTGATTTTCCAGCCTGGAAATTCTTTATGAAGTCCCAGACTCATGGCCATTCTAACGGCCAGGCCCAAGAAGTTCCACCCAGTATTGGGCTTGTTTCGTTTCTGTGCGTAATTGCTCAGCAGTAGTAGCGCCTGCACCAGGGTAAGGTTTCCGGTCTCAAACACGGAGACCTGCTGCAAGTGGCCTCGAGCTTCTTGGTAGAAAGTGATATCCAGGTCGGAGTTGTCGTCACCAATGCACCAAGCACCCAGCGCCAGAATGGTATTCAGCAAGATCTGCCATGCTTGACCATGTGGCCGAGGCACTTGTTCATAGAACTGCGCTCTGAATGTACCCTCGTGAATGAAAGGGTAGCTTGCATGATAGTTGAGGAAGAATGCGTCCATAAACGCCTGCTCAACTAGACCAGACGGGGCGGTGTTGAGCAGTTGGGACTTCAAGGGAATCGCATAATTCGTCTTCGACGTGCCAGCGGGGAAGTTGAGGTCAAAGCCATGTTTGAGCAATGTTCGGAGGGGAACGACGCTCGAAGAAGCGCCTGCTGATGGTTAGAATGATTGACTGCGCCTGGATCTAAACGAAACACACACCAAAGTAACCCGCTCCTTCTGGTTTGATGGATAAGGCTGCCATGCCGTCTGTCAGATCCCCTACAGTAATCTTATTCTCCGCCCAATCGAAGCCGTCTGCCTGTTGCGGCAGGGCCTCGGGGGCTGGTTCGGCTCGATCGGCCTCAGCTTTGGCTGGAGTAGAGTGCCTGGATGACGACTTGGACGATGAACCTGGTTTAGGCGGCCCATCCTGGTCGTACAGAAGGGAGCGAACCGTCGCATCCAGGTCACCGCCCGGAAACAGCCTCCCTAGGGCTGTTTCGAACGCCTGTAAGCGATCTTCTACATACGTCAAATGTCTATTTAGATATCGTTAGAGGGTTGCACAGCATGTGAGGAAAGCGAAACAGATGCTTACTGTCTGGTCAAGGGACTTCTGTTGACTTTAGGACTATAGTTACAGTCCTTGTGCAGCTGCCTGCATTGTGCACATGTAGGTTTCTCCTTGGAGCACTGTAGAGAGGTTAGCTCAGTTCCAAGTTCCTACCCCTGAGCATCCGAAGCTCCATATAATGACTTCTCACCCTGGACTTCCGTAAACGACATTCATCGCACTGCAAGTGGAGGTCAGCTAACTAGATCAGTTTGCCCTGCGATCTGCGACTCACGGCATAAGAGTGAGAATCACGAGTGCTGGCCATATTTAGAGCAAGAGGATCATTCGATTTATCGAATCTCTAAGTCTCGTGCTCGGTGGTAAGTATACCAGACTGATGTCATCTAAATCAGTAGGTTAGCAACATCCTACATGGTTTCAACCGGTGGAAGTCCGATGCCAGACTTGAATCGGCAACATGTGAGAAGCATGAATACAATATTAAGAGATGAGTGTATTGTGAGAAGGAAAATAATGGCAAATCCTAGCCAGGCCACAGGTTGGGACAAACAAACAGAGTGCTCAGGGTACAGGTTGGCGCAGACACCGGCCACGGACTGGTGGGGTATCAGGAACAAAACGAGGTGGCGGAAGAACATAACAGGACATATAACAGGGCCAAAACTCACGATCGGCACGGCGGCATTCAACGGTCCAGCCCTTTTTTGATGTCGGAGACAAGGCCGACCGTCCAAGCCCGTGAGACAGGTTCAAATGAGGACGACAGGCCTTTAGAAATCGAGAAAGAGGGGAATTCGACCGTTGCGAGCGCGACGAGGAAAGCTGCAGCCGATGTGATGATTGATGCTAACTCTTACAGAGGCTCGTGTGGGGGAGCCAGTCAGGTGACACGCCGCGAAAGAAATTTATCGCCAGTTGCCCAGTTGCCCAGTTGCCCACTGTCAGCCTGACATCCTCAGGCAGGAATGTTGTCTCCTTGTGGTCAAGGGTTCGCTGGGTCATTCAAATGAAAGCGCAGAAGATATCCTTGATATCCCATTGATAAATTGATCTGATATCTAGACTGCTCCCCATGCAGCAGATAGCAAGATAACAAGCTTGCAGACCCGTCCTTGCAAGCACCTGGCTGATTGATATGCACGAGCTAAAGTCAATATAGTGGGTTCGGGGTACGGAATGCGGACCAGATGGTCATGATGCCAGTGTACGCTGCATCGTGTCAATTCGCGTCGTATTTTTTTTAGCTTGATGGATGAGAACACCATGTGGAAGAAGCAGAAACTCTCGTTGGTGGGCTGCTTCTGCAGGATTTCTCTAGTGGTCCGGTGCCTTCAGAACTGTGACAGCTCCCAAGGTAGCTGAGGCTAGAATATATAGTGTAGGCGCGCGGATTCTAGCACCTCCCAAGGGTGCCAACATGCGAAAGTTGTAGCGCATATCCCACATAAGGGATAGTATGGAGTAGAATTTAGAGCATGTTATCGCTCTGTTACACCAAGATACAAGTAAATAAGGAGTTGCTGGTCAAGGAATCAATGCTCAGCCAGCGACAAAGCAACAGCTATCAATCAGTCTTGGCGCGGTCCTCGCGCCAATCGCAGCCCCCACAGGAAATTCAATTTTATACAACGTCATTTGCAGCCACTTCCAGCATCCAAAAATCACTCCCGTGAAGCCCAGAAAAGGCATCTATCTCAATTTGCGACGTGAGGGCTTGACTACAATTGCGTTCGGTCAGCTATACTCGCAGGCTTATATCCATCACCGAGCGACCTCCCACCAAGACAATACAGCGATGCCCACTCAACCGCCCCTCCCTCCCCTCCTGGCACCCTACGTATCGTCCCTACCCCCCTCATCTCTCATCGTTCTCTCCACCGTCCTCGGCGCCCAAGGCAATTGGCTCACTTTACGATATCTCTACGCCGCCCTGAATGCGGCATCTGCCTCCGACACTGCGCTAAGTCTCGGCGAAGGGCACAATGGGAAGAAACAAAAGGTAGTGCTCGTGAGTTTCCTGCGGGGTTGGGAATTTTGGCGCGCCGAAGCAAAAAGATTGGTATGTGTTTTTTTTTTTTTTTTTTGCGGGAGCAACACCCTCAGCCCACCAAAACCCTTGATGGTTCCCGGTGGAAAGCGTCTTGTGCGGCATGAAATAAAAGGATTCTAAAACAACAAATACAAATTTCAGGGCTTGGATCTCGCCCGTCTCACCGACAAGCGCCAATTCGCCTTTGTCGATGGCTTATCCGAACTCTTCTCCGGCCCGCGGACGACGCCGACCACCACCACCACCACCCCCCAAACCACTCCTCCCTCCCTAGTACCCTCACCCCGCGGCGGCCCGGTTCCTCAGCGGACAATCCTCCCAAGTCGATCCACACCAGGTCCCATTCCCGCGCGAGGGCCTCAACCCGCGCGCGGCCTTGCGGCGGTCGCCGCCCCAGCGCCGTTGACTCCGTCCGCTCCGTCCGCTTCGCCGGCCTCCTCTCGAGAGATCGGCCCAGTCAAGCGACTGCACCTGTCCGGGAAGGGCCCTGCCGCTCTGGACAGACTCGAGAAGGATATCGCGGCGGTGGTGGCGCATGTGAGCGGCAGAGCGACGGCGACGGCGACGGCGGAGGCGGAGGGAGAGGACGATTCAGAGGTGCTGCTAGTCCTCGACCAACCGGACCTGCTTCTAGCCGCGACGGGGCCCAGCCAGGAGATTGGAGCTACGGAGATGACCGAGTGGGTTATGGGCCTCCAGCAGGTACGTTCTCGATCGACTCATTCAGCTTGTGGTGATAGGTGCGCTAACCATGCTACGTGCGGTGGGATATAGTATGTCCATGCTACGGTCATGACCCTCGCGGCCGACTTGCCCTTGATACACAACGCCTCGGCGGCTGCGCATCAGATGCCCACGCCGCTGGAGACCGAACATGCCGCGTTTGCGATCGGTTCGGCCCACCGGGCGCATCTGGTGATGCAGTTGCGGGATCTGGATACGGGGGCTGCGCGGGATGTGAGTGGGGTTCTCAGGGTCAGTAAAGGAGGCGCGTGGGGACAGAGTGATAACACCGATGCCAACGGGAGTTGGGAAGAGAAGGAGGCGTTGTACTTCGTGCAAAGAGATGGTGGGGTCAGCGTCTTTGGACGCGGGGAGTAGGTAGATCAGTGTTAGTGGGGCCAGGGTGCTTTGGGGGGGAGGCGTTCGGGCGCATCAAAAAAGTATAGAACGGTGGATTGATCTGTTTCGCAAGTTGGCAGTGCAAGGATAGATACGTTTCTGTAGGGTTGGCCGTCAGAATTTAGGTAGACAGATCACATTGGATGAATATCTCAACACTGCGTCTGTCTCGACATGGGATATCCGCCAGCCATAAACAAGTCAAGGAAAATTCATGCATTGCTTTTCCCTTCTCCTTTTTTTTTCTTCTTCGTGAACAACACAGGACCCCACGGAAAGAGGGTCCGTCTTTTCATTTGTCGTCAATATGTGCCATTTTTCTCTCTTTCTCTAGAATAGAAATGCTATGACGGCAAAAAAAGTGAAAAGACCGTCCCACCACCAACTCCACGGGGGGAAGCGCCTTTTTTTCGCCTTGCACTGAAACCGGTTCACTTCATATGCTCGGCCTTTGTCATACCAGCCCTCTCCAGCCTCCGAGAACGAAATCGCGACGTCGAACAATTAACTTAGTTGCTGCTCGAGGTGGCGCCACGGGCACCCTTGGGGACACCGGTCTGGAAGCCGTTGTGGAAGCGGCGGTGGACCTCCTTGAGGTGGCGCATTCTGCCGGTACCGGTGGTCTTTCTGCGCTTGGCCTTCTCGCTCCAGTTGACTATATGACAGCAAAGATTCGTAAGCCAACGATCTCTCAAAATACCAACAAAACATGATCTGTGATCGGGGGTGGTGGGTGGAATCTTCCGGTGCTCGAGGAGGTTGGATGTGTTTTCCCATGGTCGAATCAAGCACGCACGAAGGCCCAGTGTTGTGTCAAGAATGGAGTGGAGTCATCGGGGAAGAGTTCGTACACTTGCGAGTCTTAGCGGAGGGGTAACCGCAGTTGGCACAAGTCGACTTCTGGATGTGGAAGGAGCGTTTGCCTGTAAATATCCCGATGGTGCGCAATCCGTTAGCCCATTCGTCCCTTTGTCGTTCCCAGCAGATTTCCCTTCAATCAATTCCCGACACATCATCCCATCTCTTGAGTTTGATCATCCGTTGATCCGCAAAATATTCCGCCGCATCAAACAAAGGTATCGGAAGGTGTAATACTGACCACAACGCCTGCAGAGGGTGTGAGTCTTGTTGTGGCGCTTGCCAAAGCTGGAGGTACCCTTCGCTGTAATCGGTGTCAGTTGGCTGTCACAGTCTGTCGTCGCCGAGGGACCGGTCGGAACGGTAGTATATCATGTTGGTAACGTACTCATCTTGAATTAGGGGAACTAAAAGTGAAGCAAAATAGTCAGCGAAAAAATGTCCGTCCAGCAGATATCCAAAAACACGATCATCCGACAAAAGTAACCTACCTGGCGATTCCGTTGAAGGGCTGGTTGTCGTTGTCGTCGTCGCTGGGCGTATCGAAAGTTGCGCTGGGATCTGGGGTGGTGTCGCTTAGCGAGTTGTGGTTTCCAGGGCTTGTGCCCTGGTCCCGTGATCCCGTGATCTTCCGCCTTCTTGAAAGACGCCGTTCTGTCACGTGCAGGGCTCTCGATCTTGTTGCGGCTCCACTTACTATACGGGTGGCTAACCCGAGACTGGACTAGCGCCTTACAATTTAGTTGTTTGTTTCCATCGATGGGTCATCTACTCTCAGCTACGGAGTAGACGGCGGGTCATTTCTCATGTCCTCCTTCGTTATGGTCGGAATGGTCGTTGCATTTAAATACGATACAATCAATATATCGATATATCCACAATTTCGAAGAAGGGTATCTATATGCATTGCGCGACTCATGTCGCAAAAGAAACATCTTGCCAAAGAGCCACTAAACCCGATCATCTTTCCCCATAAAGCCGGCCATAGGATCATCCGCAGCAAGCCGGCTTCGTTTGTATGAGTCGAGCTCTTCCTCCGTGATACCTGACTGCACCTCAATCAAAGTTCTCTTCTTCGTATTTGCGTTGGTCACGTCTCCAGCCTTGGCTAAGCCCGCCTGATCAGGCGTGGCCCGGGTTTCCTCAACATCACCAGACTGTTCGATAGCGTCTTCGCCATCTCCTTCCGGTAGCATCAAGATCTGGTCTGCCTCTCGGAAAGCACGCTTGCCGTCCTCACCAGTGCAATAACTGTTCTTCACAGTAGAGAAACAGCAGGCATATCCCCATTCGAAGTTGTGCCACCAGCTTCCCCAAACGGAGGTATGGTTGTTGTTGAGGATATCTTCCGCGTACTTGGACTTTGCTGCTTTCTTGGGAGCGCCCTTGACGGCACCAGTCTCGTCATATTCGATGAACTTTTCGTTTTCAACCACCATCGTTTCTCGTAGCGGAGTTGGGTCAAGGTGTTCCTGACCACCGTATTTCTCCAAGAGAGCCTTGCGCTGGGCATCACGCTTGGCCACTGTCTCAGCCTCCGCTTTCTTACGCATGATCTCGCCTGCGGTCGGATTCGCCTGCAGATGAATCTTCTGCGTACCCTTCTCTTGAGACTCCCAAGCATACCGCTGTGCCTTCTCGAATTCAGCAGCATCTCCCGAGGCCCGCACAAAGTTCTCCTCAGCCACCAGTGCTGCTGCCTGATCATCCTGGGCGCCCATGTCCACCATGCGCCGCGTCTTCGGATCGTATTTTGCGGAATCCAGGTCGAGGTTCAGCAGATATTTAGCGGTATCTTCACGAATACGTAGGTTGCGAGTCGCGGTGCTCTGTTGTCGTCCCATATCAGACTCTTCTGCGTAGCGGGCTTCCTCTTCCGGGGCCTCCTCCTCCTCCTCATCGAGTTCCCCGCCCGCAATCCCGTTTTGCCTCTTCTCTCCGTCCTTGGTGAGCTTCCTAAGCTTCTCCAGCTCCTCATACTCCTGGACCACCTGGCGATATTCGCTGGCGTCATAGCCATTCCACCGGTCTCTCTTCGCGTCCCAACCCAGATTCACATCCTGTATAAGTTCGTCGGCCTGGATGTCTTTACCCGTCCACTTGGCACCGTGCTTCCGCGGTCGACTGAGGCACTCTTTCGTTTTGTGGGTCATGGCGCCGCAATTCTCACAGGCCCCTTTGCGGTACTTGGTGGCGGCCGGACCCGCGCGCTTGCCGCGCTCATACCATTTCGACTGATCTGTCGTCGACTTCTGCAGACGTTGATGCTCAAGGTAATCGTTGGTGGTATCGTCATCATCGACATAGAACGGTTTCTTCGAGATGAAGGACGGAATGTACTCGTTGCGTTCCTTCGACGCCACATCGGCTGGCTTACGGGACATGGTGGTGTAGTTGCGTGAGAGAGATGACCGATTTGAGGAGGGCAACCTCTTAGTCCGGTACTGAACAGATGGAGGAGAAAGGAAAGCGGGAAAAGAGTACCGGTCGCGCGACGATAGTGAGGCGAGTCGTTGCGGCATTCGCGAAGCGGCGGAATCCTTGGCGAATGGCGATGGGCTGGCTATCGTCACGTGCTCTGGCGTAGATCCGCGCCACTGGGCGCGTCACTTCCATGGTACTTGTCGACACGACCTTGCTCGCAGCAGACGGCAAAGGTTTCAAGAGACGCGCATTAGCAGTGCGATGGGCATCGGCATTTCTGACTATGATGCTTCCTACTGTTGTTGAATAGCTATGTTGGCGACGGCTTTGCGCCGTCTCGAAAGTACGCAATGGAACCCTTCCAAGTGCGCCTCAATTGCGTGGATCATTATCAGGCGGCCCCGTCGGATTTCGACCCTCCCCTGTTCTACAGGGATCCGACCTCGGGCAAAAATGGTCGGGTCAAAGTCCCTATTATCAGGGTCTTTGGCGCAACGGAGACCGGCCAGAAGGTCTGCGTTCATGTACATGGCGCATACCCTTATCTCTATGTTCAGTATGAAGGCGAGCTAGAGGAAGAGAAAGGTTTGTCCCGCCACAGTGGTTTCCTGACCCGAGTATCCCCATGGCTAAGTGTCACTGTAGTAAGTGCCGCGACTAAGCATCTCCATCTCGCCATCGACCGCGCACTAGCAGTGAGCTATAATCGCAACCCTAACGATAAGAAATTCGCCTTCGTCGCGCATATCACCTTGGTCAAGGGCGTGCCTTTCTACGGCTACCATGTCGGCTACAAGTTCTACTTCAAGGTTTACTTGACAAACCCGATCTACATGACCCGACTGGCCGATCTGCTGCTCCAGGGTTCGGTATTGAAGCGACCTGTCCAACCGTACGAGAGTCATCTGCAATACATCCCTCAGTGGATGTGCGATTACAGTCTCTACGGGTGCGCTTATATGAAGTGTAGCAACGTCAAGTTTCGAATGCCAGTGCCGGAATATCTCGAGCTCACTAATTCGTCTCACCGCTGGCATGACCGTTCGATCCGGCCCGAAGACTTGTCGGATCCCTCGGTCCTCCCGAAACAGAGCTACTGCCCGCTGGAAGTCGACATCTGCGTTCAGGATATCATGAACCGCTCTGATGTCAGTGAAAGGTCTATTCACCACGATTTCACCGAGTACTTGAAGCCGATGGCTTCCGATCAGCGACTAGTTCCGAGCATGGCCGGTCTGTGGCATGACGAAGAGCGCAGACGGAAGAAACGCCTCGGACTTGAGCCAGGCAGCAGTCCGTTTGTCGCCGAGGAGCTAGTTTCCTTATCGGTCGATCCCAGGAATACCTCGCAAGGTGGCTGGATTCACGAGGAAGAGTACCGGGAGATGGTAAGGCACACGATCAACGAGGAAAAGAGCCACTACACTGGCGGTGATGTTAGCTTCGACAATTTCCTTACAGAAAACCCGCTCGCAAAGAATGTAAAGACCGCGCTTCAGAGCGTTGAAGATTTCTATCCTGGCAAGGACGAGCTCACCAGAAGCGACTTTCGTAATGATAATGACTTGCAGCTGCCGGAGGAGTCGGATGTCGGTAGAGGAGAGGAGGCATTTCTTCCTGCCAAATCGGATGAGGAGCCGTATAATTCAGACGAGGATGACGTTTCGAGCCTGCTGCATGGCGGGACACTTGGCGAAGAAGGAATCAATACTTCAGAAGATTATTGGGCCGATGGCTTATTTGATGTCGCTGCCCTTAACATCTTTGATGATGAAGCCGATTCCGGACTCTCCGACCCAGATCATGATGTGGATTCTCAGGCAGAGCTTCTCGATCCGGAATGCTCGGAGATCTTTGATCATACTAGACCAGCGCATGACGATGGCTTGGAGGTTGATCAAGAAATCCTAGATGGCGGAACCCAGAGGAATAAGCACCTTTCGGATTACAATTCAAGCCGCGAACGTCCCCATAAACGTCAAAGATTCTTCGAAGATGCTCTATCGCAACAGGTAGAAAGTCCGACAAAGCAGGTCTTTAGGCAGCATGCAGCCCATTTTCAGATCGACAGCTCAGATACCGAAGACATGCTAGATGAGCTCTATGAGTTTGTGGAACAATTGCCGTCGCAGGAAAAATCGTCACAATCCACCATCCGCCCAAGCAAGGCACAGAGCAGGAGGATAAGCTTCCCTGTTGTGAAGGACCCCAATGATCCTATGACCGTTTTGCGATTTAGTCAGGACAGTAGCCTCTCATCCAAAGATTTGAGGGAAATTGACGGCGTAAATGTGTCCGAGTCTAACGAAAACATCTCTTTCAAGACCAATTTCAATGAATCATCGTCACAACTGCAGTCATCGGCTACTGGGACTAGGTCTGACCATGCAAATGCTCACTCACATGCCCAGGCTTCGGAGATAATGGGTAGCATCTATGACAGCTTCAATATACCCATGCAAACTCGAATTGGCTTATGGCGAAGAGCCTGTCCCAGCCTGAGCGAAGTCTCCTCAACCCTGTGTCATTTTGGATATCCATCTACTATCTATCAGAAAGCCCATTACAGTAACGAGAACGATGTGCCCGACCGGCCAAGGGACTATGCCGGGAGAGAGTTCCGTTTGGAAGGAGTTGGCATACATTTTCTTCCCAGATTCGATCCTTTAGGACGGTCTGTGGCGATGCTGGGCGACGATTATGCTGTGTCAAAAGACAAACGCTCCCGGGAGAAGAATGACCAACTGCTGCGCGAATCGTGCACGTTGAGAGAATGGGAGTTTGCCCCTGTACCGCCCAGTCGCTCAGAGGTCATAGAGTGGTTCGAGAAACTGGAAGAAGAGGCCAAGAAAGATCCGGCAAAAGTGCAAGCCTTACCACGCGAGCGAGTTCAACCGAACGTCATGTCGCAAATCGAAGGTCCCACGCAGAAGAACGATTATGGATTCAAATACTCCCAAAAAGACAAATCCACTAGCGTGGAGCATCAAACTCAGTATATGAGCATGATGAGTCTGGAAGTACATGTGAACACTCGCGGAGAGCTGGCACCAAACCCCGAGGAAGATGAGATTAGCTGCGTTTTCTGGTGCCTGAACTCGGACGACGAAGATGTTGACGCTAACGGTACTTTGCCGGGTGTTCATGTGGGGATGATCTCCCAGAGCGAAGAGGATAGGCCTGATGCGAAGCTCTCCAAGGCGCTGAGGATCGAATGGGACCATGAAACGTCGGAACTTGATTTGATCAATCGAGTTGTGGACGTTGTGCGGTATCATGACCCAGATCTCATCACGGGCTACGAGGTTCACAACAGCTCCTGGGGCTATATCATCGAGCGAGCTAGGAAGAAGTACGACTTCGACATCTGCGACGAGCTGTCCCGCGTCATCTCACAAGCTCATGGCAGATTTGGCAAGGATGCTGATCGATGGGGATTCAACCACACTTCTTCAATCCGGGTTACTGGGAGACACATGATCAACATATGGCGAGCGATGAGGAGCGAGCTGAACCTATTGCAGTATACCATGGAAAATGTTGCTTTCCACCTGCTGCACCGCCGGATCCCACACTACTCCTTCCGGGATCTAACAGCGTGGTATCAGAGCGGGAAACCGCGGGACTTGATGAAAGTGATTGATTATTTTGTCTCGCGCGTGCAGATGGATCTTGAGATCCTTGACTCCAACGAACTCATCGCCAGGACCAGCGAGCAAGCACGGCTCCTGGGCATCGACTTCTTCTCGGTATTCTCACGAGGCTCGCAGTTCAAAGTCGAGTCTCTCATGTTCCGCATTGCAAAGGCAGAGAACTTCATGCTCGTGTCGCCTAGCAGGAAGCAAGTCGGCCAACAGAACGCTCTCGAATGCCTCCCGTTGGTCATGGAACCACAGAGTGACTTCTACACTAGCCCGCTCATCGTCCTCGATTTCCAGTCGCTCTACCCCAGCATCATGATTGCATACAACTACTGCTACTCCACATTCCTCGGTCGCGCCCGGCAATGGCGAGGCCGCAACAAGATGGGATTCATGGACTACGAACGGCAGCCCCAGCTCCTTGAGCTCCTCAAGGACAAGATCAACATTGCCCCCAACGGCATGATCTACGCCAAGCCGGAAGTGCGCAAGTCCCTCCTGGCGCGCATGCTGGCCGAGATCCTGGAGACGCGGGTCATGGTCAAGACGGGGATGAAAGCCGACAAGGACGACAAGACGCTGCAGCGACTGCTCAACAACCGGCAGCTGGCGCTCAAGCTCATCGCCAACGTCACCTACGGCTACACGTCGGCGTCCTTCTCGGGGCGGATGCCGTGCTCCGAGATCGCGGACAGCATCGTGCAGTCGGGCCGCGAGACGCTCGAGAAAGCCATCGCCTTCATCCACTCGGTCGAGCGCTGGGGCGCGGAGGTCGTCTACGGCGACACGGACAGCCTCTTCGTCTACCTGAAGGGCCGGACGCGGGACCAGGCCTTCACGATCGGCGAGGAGATCGCGCAGGCGGTGACGCAGAGCAACCCGCACCCGGTGAAGCTGAAGTTCGAGAAGGTCTACCACCCGTGCGTGCTGCTGGCCAAGAAGCGGTACGTGGGGTTCAAGTACGAGCACCGCGGGCAGACGGAGCCCGACTTCGACGCCAAGGGCATCGAGACGGTGCGCCGCGACGGCACGCCCGCCGAGCAGAAGATCGAGGAGAAGGCGCTGAAGCTGCTCTTCCGCACCGCCGACCTCAGCCAGGTGAAGGCCTACTTCCAGGCCCAGTGCACCAAGATCATGCAGGGGCGCGTCTCCGTCCAGGACTTCTGCTTCGCGCGCGAGGTCAAGCTGGGCACCTACCGCGACACCCGCGGGCTCCCGCCCCCCGGCGCCCTGATCAGCGCCCGCCGCATGGCCGCCGACCCCCGCGCCGAGCCGCAGTACGGCGAGCGCGTCCCCTACCTCGTCGTCGCCGGCGCTCCCGGCAGCCGCCTGATCGACCGCTGCGTCAGCCCGGACACCCTCCTCCACGACGCCACCCTCGACCTCGACGCCGACTACTACATCACCAAGAACCTGATCCCCCCGCTCGAGCGCATCTTCAACCTCGTCGGCGCCAACGTCCGCCAGTGGTACGACGAGATGCCCAAGGTCCAGCGCATCCGCCGCCTCCCCGAGCGGGCCGGCGCCAGCCACGCCCACACGACCGCCAACGCCCCCGGCCTGCGCAAGACCCTCGAGTCCTACCTCCGATCCTCCGCCTGCCTGGTGTGCAAGTCCAAGCTCGACGACGCCGAAGCAGCCGCAGCCGCAGCCTCGGCCCCCCCGCTCTGCGCCGAGTGTCTGCGACGCCCCCATCTCCCTCTGTTCGATCTGGTGGGCCGGCAGCGCCAGGCGGAGAGGAAGGTGGCCGAGCTGGAGCGCATCTGCCGCTCGTGCATGGGCGTCTCGTTCGGGGAGGAGGTGCGCTGCGATAGTAAGGATTGCCCCGTGTTCTACTCGCGGACACGCGCCATGGCCAGCTGGCGACATACTAAGGCGGCGCTGGATCCCGTCATTCGCTTGCTGCAGGATACCACGGAGAGTGCTCTGGATTGGTGACGGTGGAGGCGGGACGGGGAACTTCTTGGGTTCTTGGTAGCTCTTTTGGCTTTTAGGAATGGCTCTGCACGTTGGGTCGATTGCATCTTGGACGCATAGATCTCTTGGTGGTGTTATGGGTTGTTTACACTAAAGTCTCTTGAGAGGAGTACAGGGAGTGGATGTGGCGATTGATGGTGAGGTCGGGGTTTCTTTGGTCACTAGTGGATTTGGATTAGGGTCACATCTTATATCCTTTGGTCTGATTTCTTGACGCCGCGAAGATTAAACTTTAGAAAGTCAATAACTGGAAAAAAAGATTACGCGACTACCCCATAGTTCACCCCTCCCACCCGCCCCGCCCTCCTAGAGCCACGAAGTAGAGCAGAAGGAAGAGTGCTAAATCAGTAAAACAGAAGAAAGATGAGAAATCATGCGCCCCTTAGCAATCTAAGAACCCTTCAAACCCATTCATGCGCGTCACTAATTAATGCCACCATCCCCTCCCCACCTCCCTCCCTCTCTCCCCATACTGCACCTAGAAAAGACCGAGCAGCGCATTCAGCTTATCGACCGTGGTCGGCTCCAAGGTCTCCTCTTCAACGAGGTCAAGACACTCGGATCTAGTATCAGAATCCACCTTTGTACTCTCGGAATCCAGCTTCATATTCTCGGAAAGCTTGCCAGGTTCAAGCTTCATCTTGGCCACGGTGTCACAAACTTCAAGCAGGTTTGCTGCCGAGTCTGGTGACTCTGTGGCAGACAGGGCCGAAGGCCTGGGAGTATCCGAGAGGCCGAAATCGAGGAGGTCTTCAAGCGACTGGACATTTGCGGTCTTGCCATTGGCGATGTTGGTGATCTGATGAGGATGGGATGATTTAGCGACAGTCTCACCCTCAAATAGGCCAAACGGATCATCATCCAGGACATCTTCCGTTTCTTTGGTGCCTGCTTGAGCCACCGCCTCAGAAACTCCGATGGCCGACTGTTTTTCTTCCTGCTCGACCTCTTCAAGTCCTTCGTAGAGACCTTTTGCAATTTTGCCGAGAACATGGGGGAAAATCCACGGAAAGCTGATCAGCGGCCATTGACTCATTTCAGGCTTCTGCTGTGAGGACTCTCCACCGGCTTCTCGGTGAGAATCTTCGCGGTGCTTCTTCAGGGCAGCGGCTATATCCGAATGCGTGACGCGGTACATAGCAAGCGCTAAAGGTGCCAGCTGCTCGAAATTGCGGCCACCAACTTCGGTATAGCACCTCTTTTTGAAGCTCTCAATGTGACCCAGGGCTAGGGTTCCGATCTCCTCATGAAACTTGAAATCCTTACTCATGTTCGCATGGCTGAGAACAAAAGTCGACCAGACTTCGAATTCAGTCTTGATTTCATGTTGGGCCATGATGCGAAGGGTCGCCGTATCATATTCGATCTTAAGATCTTTGGCAAATTGATAGAGTTTCTCACTCACTTGCAGTTTGCAGTCGAGGATTCGCTTGTCGAATGGCATCCCAAGACTGGGTGTAAAGTCAACGCGTTCCACGGCGTCGTAAAGCTGACCCAGAATCTTTTTCGATCGATAGATCTTGTCAGGCCCCTTCCCCTTCTTCTCCATAAAATGAGGCCACATATGAGGCTGGAGGTTGCGAGTCATAGCTGCTGGGATCCCAGTCTTGTTGTAATCCACAGCATCCGAATGCAGCTGCGCTAGTCGCAGACATTTGTCTTCATTGACTCCATTGTCCAGACGATCAGCCCATGCAAGATGTGCATGTGCAATCATCGGAAGGCAATCGTTCTTCATGTAAGTCACAAAAAAAGATGTGATTTCATCAACAGTGACATCGTGATCCAAGTCTGGGGCCTTCTTGCTGGTGTATCTCATAGGTGGACGAAACCAATCCTGGGGCAGTAGATCTTGATCCCAAATGACCAGGTAGTCATCGCCATCAAGGTCTCCACCGGAACACATGCTGGCGATATCTTGATCACCGGTCTGGGGCAATACAACTACGTCGTGAAGCTGGTGCAACTGCGGGACGTCAACAGCTCTAACCACCCGGATGTCACCGGGGTGAAGGGATGGATTTCGAGCCAGTATGCAGACACCTTCAACTATGGTGTACGTCTTCCCATCTTCACTGCCTTCTGCCTCGGGTTGGGAGATTTGCAAGAAGATTTGGGGTAGCGCCGCCAGCTGTTTTTCGAGGGGCTCATTGTCCTTGGGGATATTGTTATAGTAGAATCCTCTGAGTATACCAGTCTCATCCATACATCCCAGGAGATTAGCACCTCGCTCAATTACTATTTTTGCTTTCTCTTTCAGGTACTTGAGGTGCCAAGCTCTCCATAAGGCCATCACCGATGTCAGGAATGGCTCCCGAGACATCATGAACCCGTCGGATATCATTTCACTGACAGTGAGTGTTTTTTGATTCGGATCGACATATCTCCTAAGAAGCGAGATTGCCAGGGAATTATTTTCCATGGCTTGATCAAGATTCTGAAGCATGTCCTGAAGCTTATCATGAAACACATTGTCGGGTATGCCCAAGGTCGACAGAACGACAATCAGTTGTCGGTTAAGCGTAGCGATGCTAAACTGAGACCAGCGAATGATCTCCAAGTTGTTATGAATTGCGGTGAACTTGTATTGGCTCTTGCGAATATGAACCTCTTGGGGCTGAGCTTCAGGAGAAACAACGAGCATGCCCTTGCATCCTCCAAGGCGAAACTGAAACGCGGAAGGAGGGTCACCAGATGGTGTTTTGATTTTCAATTCTGTCATTGCCATTTGTGCAAGAAATCTTGATATTCTTCCGACGCCGTCAGAGAAGACATGGCCATTACGCTCTACGTCGTTGATCTTTCGGATCTGCACAGGGCAGCCAGCTATCGCCCTGGTGGTTGAAAAACATTGCCCTAGCCGTGCTGCATGCTTAGCGACGTTGCGTATATGGCTAAAGTGGCCCATCCACTTGCGAATGTTGCTAGTTGTGAGGCCCGGCAGCGGGGCGAAGAAGTAAGCGCCGTGTTCGCGAAACTGCGAATTTCCGAATGCAAGAAACTCGTAGTGCCTGTCACCGATGACTATGCCATTGGCCAAGGCTCTCTTGATGCGAGTGAAGATTTCGTTCCTTGTGTTATCCATGGTTGAGTTAATACGACCCAGAAGCTTCTCATCCGTGAACCTTACACGAAGGAATCGATCTGCGTGCTCGACATAACGTCGAATGATCCTGTTTGATATGTCGACTGTGGGTGAGTTGAAGTAGATAGTGGTTGGAGTTATCCTGGCGGAGCGCATATAGCAACAGTAGGGTGGTATTTTCGCATCTGTCACTCCTTTGATAAATTTGAGATCGAAAATTTCCAGAGGGTTGTGGTAAACTCGCTTTTGTGTTGCCACGTGCTCTAGGAGCTTCTTGGCTCTGGTATCCTCTAGCTCAGCCAGTCTTGCAGCGAACTCGCGTGTCATACTGAATTCTGAGAGGTATCCGTTGGAAATGCAAACCTCCAATTGATATCGGACGGCAAACGGAAGGTAAACATAGGTCGAGTCAGACAGAGACTGCAGTGAGGTCGAGATCTCGGGAGCCTTGCTGTTTGGAGAGGCTTGGGTCTCTGTCAAGTCGATCCACTTCCAGATAGGGGGAGTCCTCTCCTTGCTGCCATCAGCTTTGATGTCGTAGTTACTCTCTTTCACTTTGATGTTGTAGTCCTTGAGTATCTCGCACAGGGTCTGAAATTGCCCTAGGTCCTCACAACCATCTCGGAAGTTGAACTCGAAAGCTGTCCAACGACCTGTATACCGAACATAGCAAGGGGTTAACAAGCGACATCATGGGAAGGCACAATAAAAGAGACTAAGTATGAGATACAAAGAACAAGAGAATACACAGAAATATGGAGTGAGAGAGAGAAGGCTTTCAAAGCACTTACCTAAGTCAATGACTGAATGTTGCCTTTGTAGGCTGAGGGGAAGACCAGACAGCCTCCGCGGCTGGTGGACGATCTGAGTTTGTCTATACCATGTGTCCGCATCCCTCCAATGATGGTCCTCCAGGAATGTCGACCTGATATCATCTATCCGCCGCTGATAAATAGGAGGGGAGTCAAGGATAGTCAGATGTGAGATCGACCTGGTGTCCGCGTTGCGCCTCTGAGTAACTCCATTCAGCTGCACGAAGGGAATTCTAATCTGGTAGTTTCTGTAGGTTTCACGCACGGAGGTCTTCTTATTGGTGGAGTCAAAGATTTGGATCTGAAATTGAACGAGCATAGCTCTGGACCTCATGTCAAGAACAATACAAAGGCCACCGCCGGGTGGATTCTCAACTGTCCGCATTGGTAAAAAGACGTTCTCACCGACCATGACACCAATATTCAGAGAAACGAGTGGAACCTTCTGATAAGTAGTATAGGCCGTGAGAAGATGTCAATTGCAGGGAATGTGTATCAAGCATACTTACAACCTCTACTGGATAATGTACGTCCGGATGGGAAGGAGACTGGATGCGGTCGTTCGGTGAACTGAGCTCAGGCTTGACGGAAATGGTGGCCGACCGACCACCAGGCAGATGAATGGTGTAGCTGCCTTGGCTCCAAAAGTCCTTAATGGGAGGCGGCCTGGCCAATATTGGATGAGTGTCAACGTGCAAGTGAATTACAGTGATGAAGGAATACCTGAAGCGTATCTTCCCTCGCGAGGTTCGTTTTCCCTGAAAGTTCTCGAAGAGGTCGATGGAGAAAATGTGCCCTTCGTTTTTGAAAGAATGCCATATACAAGCTGCATCGGCCTCGTCTGGAATCTGATGAAGAAGGATAGCCAAAGAATCGAACGACTTCCATGGAGGCATGAGGTTCGCAATCACTGTTTTCCGTGGAGACCCAGCTTGAGCTTGAAGGGCATCCCTTCTGTCCCTCAACACGACTTGTTTTCCTCGTGTGCTCATCTTGACTCTGGAAGAAGGCCTTTGAAGAAAAGAAGAGTGGGGGATTGGGAGCGAGGGAGAATAGGAAGAGGCATCGAGAGAGGAGGAGAAACAGCGAGGACGAGGTGAAGAAGCGGAAGTGGAGTGGGAGGAGGATGAGGGAGAGCAGGAAGTGGAGGAAGTGCAGGAAAGACCCGAGTCAGTTGGAGATGATTCCTGCCTCACATCTGTAGTCACACTCGAGTGAAGGAAGGCATGAGGACTTTGTGTCGCATCCAGAGGCAAATTCAATGCGAGAGATGAATGATGCCCTTCCGACGCCTTCTCCTTGTCAAGACATCTTGTTGGGGAGAATGCCATCTTGTTGTTGTCCGGGTACGACACAAGTGAACTGTAATTGTTCTGCTCTGTTTCTCATGGTGTTCAGGAAAATGCGAGTATTTAAAAGCAGTCCCTGACAGAAGGTCCTCTGTTTACGATCATGCAGGTACCCATTTACTGAGAATTCAGTGCTGGGTTCTCTCTGATGGCCTGGCCTTATTCTTATCTCATCTCATTTGCATGAGACGTGAGGCGAGAGTGTTACACTGAGTTAAAGAAAAGTGATTACAAGCGCTCGCACATAAAACCATACAGAATATTTCAACTGCAAATAGTCCAGATCACTATCCAAGAGAGGCAGAAAAAAAAGGCTCGAAGTCACAATCCTTCCCGTAAGCGACATCAACATTTGAGTGCCAAGGGAACAACGAGCGCCACTATGTCTCAGACGGTGGCGCGTGGTCGTTTGAGTTGGACAGAGACGTGCTTGTGAACAGGAAGTCTTTGGAGAACTCCAAATCCATATCCAAGTCGATGTGTTGTAGGTGATTTTCACCTAGCACTCCACAGGGTTGGCTCTGTTCGACTGTGTGCCCCACACTGCGATGCGATTTAGTGCTTTGCTGAGAGGAAGGATGGCTGTTCGAATCCGCGTCTGCCAGAGGCGTCCTCTGTTGATGTTGTTTTGAAGTTGCGGCATCACGGCCACCCGCATTCACCAGCTGACCGCCATTTACAGTACGAGGTGAAGACAGGTCAGCGGCAGGAAATGCCCTGTCCAGAGATCTTTTCTGGCTATGGTTTCTAGGGGAGGACATCTCGCTTTCAAAACTTGCTCCCGAACGCTCGTCGGGCTGAGTCTGAAAATCCTCCTCTTCCACTTCGACCTGCGTTTGTTGCGGCATCGCCACTGGCTCTGCGGATTCTGCTCTACTGTTAGATCTAGGCCGCCGGAGGTGTCTCTTCGGAGTCATTGACACCTCGGGCTCAGCTTTGAACCCCATAATGTTCATCAGCCGTCCGATGTGTTGCTGGGCCTCAGAGAACTCCCGAGCTTTAGCTGCTCGCTCATCTTTGAGCTTTCGCGTCTATGATCAGAATTGAATATTATTGTTAGTATTGATCACTGAACACAACAGGTGGATCTGGAGGCGTCATGCTAGCGTGATTGCGGGCTTAGTGTCATACCTTTGCTTCCAAGTATTCAATGCGCTTGTTCTTCTCTTTCGCTTCCGTGGCAGCGATTGTAGCAGCTTTGTCTTTGGAAGCACATATACGAGCGTATCTTTCCTTCCATTTCTCGTTCTAAATATGTGAGTCGAAGTTGAAGGACTTGCGAGATCAAAACGCATCATACCTCTACAGCTGCCTTTCTAGTTCGCTCCTCAAGAATAGCTCGTTCTCTCCGGTTTTCCTCAATCGCATTTTGAAGTGCCTCTTGAAGCTTGTCAAACTCTGCATTTCGTTCGTGCAGCTGTGCAGTATTAGAGATTGATTTCATTCAAAGAAAGATAATGAACAACTCACCTTTTCTTGTAATACTTCTGCCTCTTTACCGGTGTTCTGCTTCTCATTCAAGATCCGCTTCGCTTCCTCTTCTTTGTCAACAACCAGCGTTTGGTAATGCTGCAGGCCTTGTCGAAGCCCGGCAGCTTCTTGTTCCAAGGAAGCGACTTGCTCCAGACATGTGGCTTTATCTTTGGAGACCTCGTCAAGCACACTCCGCAGGTCATCATACGCTTGCTTCTGCTCGGCAACCTCTTCTTGAAGCGCTTCCAACAGATCGTCCTTTTCAGTGACAGAGGCCACTAGGTCTAATTCCCTGGTCCTGGCCTGTTCTCGCTCGCTCGTGACAATCTCTTGGGATTCGCGCCGATGGTCCGCCAATTCCTTCTGTAATGCATTCAGGTTTGCTGTCAACTCCTCGGCACGCATAGATGCAGCTTCTGACTGATGCTCCAGGCGGAAAATGTCTTGGTGTAGATCGTCAATAGTGCCGGAGCACTTACTCAGCTGCGATTGTAGCTCAACGTTCTGTTCTCGCAATCTTTCCGCTTCTAGAGAGTACTCGTCACGTTCTCTTTCTACTGCTCTGAGGGGGGCTTCGACATTGCCACAGCGCTGTTCAAGGTCATAGCAGATATCTTCCATTGCGCGTATCATAGTCTCTTGGGTTGTGCGTGAATTCAGCATCAATGTTTCTGTCATCGCTTCCCTCCAGTTGGATCTTGAGCTTGGCAGATTTTCATGTGATCTAAGTGGCGGGACATTCCTGATGCGGTCGTTGGGCTTATTTTCTGAGATTGTGCATCTATGCCTGCACAGAGACTGCTTGGACTTCTCAGTGAATAGCCTCAAAGTACCGGCTTCGGCAGGATTCAGTCCGCTGGCGTCCGATTTGTGGGACAGCGACGCGTGCAGGTTGCAGGCAAATAGGTCACAAATTAGCTCGTTCTGCAGCTGCGAATATATGTCGTAGCAAACACTGGAGTCATGACATTGTGTTGAGGATGAAGCTCTTGGAAAACTTTCGAGGAGCGCAATCATCGACTTGCTGCATTCGCGCAGGATTGTCTCCGAGATGCAGGTAGTGAATAGTTTCGCGTCTACGTTCTGTAAGCCTATGACTAGTGATCTTGCTATTTCTAGGCTCTGTAGATCCGACGGATTGCTCGGTTGTAATATTTTCAGCGTAGAGAAAGCATAGTCAAAGACCTGCCGTACTGCGGACTCTTTCGAACAAGCCTAGAGCATATTAGCATCCTTTCTGTATGCACAATTATGCATTCCTTACGGCATTCGCAAGTGCTAGTCGCTGCATATATTCTAGGGGAAGCACGCTCAACATAACAGGTCTTGTTTCTGACATGGCCCAGTCGAGAGCAAGTCGAGGTATTTCGGGGGTCAGTGCCGCTGTGGGAAGAATAGAAACGAGGAAGGTGGCCCCCTACCAAAGCTGTTAGGTGCTTAAGTTCATGTGCGGAGAAGGTCCTACCTACCAGAATCTGTACACCACGATCAATGCCACTTCTCATCACTTTCTCTCGCAATTTGGCGATTTTGGATGGATTTGCTGCATTCCATGCATCCTTCTGCTCAGGTTCGACCCTGTCACAAATCTGAATAGCTAAGCAAACACTTTCAGCAGCTTGTGCTGGCGTCAGTTCACTGCATGAGTCAGAGCATGCGAGGATCACTCTCAGGACTACAAGATCCATTGTCTTGAGCCCGCGCTTGGGCCCAAAGAAATGACCGACACTTTGCAACCACAGGGGAGTAGACGACCGAGATTCTCGATTCGATAATTTCCCCTGTAGTGATGCAAGATTGGCCAAGGTAGCGAGAGAAAGAAGATTGCCCATATGGTCAGCGAGATTGCGTAATGTTTTCGTGAGCTCAACCTGGATGCTCGAAATGATCTCGGTTGGTATCTCGAGTAGTACTCTGGGAGAAGTTCGTAGGCCAGTTGAAATACGGTGCAGGGGCAAGATGGTCTCTGAGCACGGATTCTCTGATAGCTGACGGATTACTGACGAGAGGAAAGGTGTCAAACGCGCTGGAACCAGGAAGTCCGGTGGCAGAGGGGATGAAAGAATTGCAGTGCATAGAGAAGCATACTGCGCTTGTTAGCTTTTGACCATGCTACCATGCTGCCCAGTCTTAGAATAGCAGATGGCTGAAGAGATGGGCATAGAAAATCGTGAATTAGAGGTACCAACCTCGGAACCCTCCTCTGTCGTAGACTTTTCAAGGAATTGGTCAAGAAGATGAGGGTATCGCTGGAGTAGAAAGTCACGAAAAGAAATGACGGGCACTGCGATTGTCAGGGTCTTCCATTCTCAGAATCTCTGCAATGCGGGTATACCTACTGAAAGCACTAAGCAAAGACAACGCAAAGCGGGACCGAGACAACCCGTCAACGAGAAGGTCTACGAGGGCTCCGACCTGACATGGTTTACAGAACGCCCAATGTCTGATGGATGCAGGTGAAGCATCTTGGACTAAGCCATAGAGGTCCTGATTGCTCAGTATAGATCAGCGACTGCTCTTGGCTTGGTATAGATTGGCAGCGTGGAGCTGCGGGGTTTACCTGTAGCGAGGGTGCATATGGGGCCGTGACAAGACGCTCCACTTCGCGCCCAAGTTGAATGCTCGTAATTTGTTCAGCCATAGCTGGCAGGCCCGATACTCCAATAGAGTCTTCCAAGCTTGCTTCAAAGTCGAAAGGAGGCCCTAGTTAGTTATCGCATTCAGGCATCCATTGTCAACTGTGGTCAAGCGGCGGGGGGAAGAAAAAGATGAGATGCAGCCGCCGGTTGCCCCGACAATCAGGCGGGAAGCCACTCCGCCTGGCAATTATACTGTACGGTACGGATTACAGTACACTATTCTACTCTACAATTGTCTTTCAATCTACTACAAAGAAGAGAGCTCTTGAAAAGCAAGATAAGATATAATTGATGAAGAAAATCGAAAACAAGATGATCAAGTATACCTCCTCAAATAATGCATCATCTGACCAATCGTCATACTACAGTTCCCTGAACCAGGGTCCCATGTTGTTGAACCCCTTGGCAGGCACAGCAGTCGAGTCGGGGTTCTGACCGAAGTCGCGCAACTCCGATTCTCCAATGCTGACAATAGCACCTTTGAGAAGCAACATGGGGGGAACTGCGAGTGCCGGACCTATGTGCGCTTCTCATCTCAAACGCTTTTTCCCATTCGCCCTCGGCTTTTCTTATCTTGATTTCTGTATCATTCTCGGCCGATTTCCGATCTTTGACAGTTCTCATTATTAGCTCCGATGGCGTTAACCGGGCTGGCTCGCAGATGCACGAAGCTAGGGAACCCCAAAAGAAAACCAGTTTCTTCGAAACGACATCTCTTCCTGCTTTGCGAAGTCATTGCGTCCATATTTGAATGCGTTCAATTTCTTTCACTTCAAGTCCATCTTGGTGTTACTGTCAATCCTCAATCGATACATAATGCGGGCTCTCGTTCAATTGCCTCGGGTTTTCCCCGCATCTCCCCGCACGAGAGTGGCCGCCCACTGTCGCCCACCAACTCTTCTTACACAGCATAGAATGGTCCGCTTGCGAAGTGACGTGAACCCTACCCAACTCGAGAGTAACTCGAGCAAAATTGGAGACTCAGGTTCCTCAACCGACAGCAAGTCTTCGGGCTTTGGCTCCTTGGGCAACACTCTTCTATTCTCCGCATTGGCTGCCGGGGCTGGTTACGCATATGCAGTCACTTCTCAGAAGTCACAATCAAACCAGCCTCAGTACGGATCAGCGAAGGACTTTACAAAGGTAGGCAGCAATCCTGTTGATTTCACCAGGCATACTGCAAGATACATGTAACTGATCGAGTCGGCAAACTAGGCCATTGCAGAATTGCGAGGCGTACTAGGCGAGGATGCCATTAGCACCGACGAGGACGACCTGCAACGCCATGGATTCTCAGAATGGTCCAGTGTCAATGCAGACCGTCTACCGGTCGCGATCGCGTACCCGAATAATACTGAGGACGTCTCCAAAATCGCTCAGATATGCCACAAATATCGGATGCCAATGGTTCCTTATTCCGGCGGTTCCAGTCTCGAGGCCAATTTCTCTGCCCCGCACGGAGGCTTGACTATAGACTTCGCTTCGATGAACAAGATTCTCGAGTTGCATGAATCCGACATGGACGTTGTGGTTCAGCCCTCGATCCAATGGATGGATCTCAATGAGAAGATCAAGGACAGTGGTCTCTTCTTCCCCGTTGATCCCGGCCCGTCTGCAATGATTGGTGGAATGGTTGGCACGAATTGCAGCGGAACAAATGCTGTGAGATATGGAACTATGAAAGACTGGGTCATCAACCTCACAGTCGTCCTGGCCGACGGCCGAATTATAAAGACACGTCGCCGTCCACGCAAAACATCGGCAGGGTATAATTTGACAGGACTTTTCGTGGGCTCAGAGGGGACACTTGGTATTGTGACGGAGGCTACCCTCAAATTAGCTCCTATCCCAGAGCAGACGCGGGTTGGTGTCGTGACCTTCCCGACCGTGCGCGATGCTGCGTCGACCGCCATGCAGCTTATCCGACAAGGTATACTGGTACAGTGCGTGGAAATCTTGGATGAGGTCCAAATGGACGTCATCAACCGCGCCGGTGGCACCGGACGCACATGGAAGACGTTGCCCACACTGTTCTTCAAGTTTTCTGGCACGAAGGCAGGGGTCGCTGACAGCATCAACTTAACCACCAAGTTGTCCAAAAGAAACAATGCCAGCTCCTTTGAATTTGCACGAGACGAGCGTGAAGCTCATGACCTGTGGTCTGCGCGGAAGCAATCACTGTGGAGTATGCTGTCGCTAAGGGAGAAAGGATCCGAGGTCTGGTCTACAGACGTTTCGGTACCCATTTCCAGACTGCCAGATATCATCGGTAAGACCTATTCAATCAACTGCACGTGGGCTTGGCTAATCTGGTGTCAGAAATCTCCAAGAAGGAACTAGACAATCTTGGGCTGTTTGCCAGCATTCTCGGGCACATCGGTGATGGGAATTTTCACGCAAGTATCTTGTACGACCGCAGCGATCCCAAGGAGCTGGAGCGAGTGGAGAAGGTCGTGTACGATATGGTCGATCGGGCTTTGGAGATGGAGGGTTCATGCACGGTATGATACACAACCCCCCGGTTGTCCGTTTGATGCAATTATGACTGACTGTTGAGTAGGGCGAACATGGTGTTGGTCTAGGCAAGAAGGGTTCCTTGAAGAAGGAACTCGGCCCGGACACGATAGATGTTATGCGCTCTATCAAACAATCACTCGATCCCCATTGGTTACTCAACCCAGGGAAGATCTTTGATTATGAACGCAGGGCATAGAGTGCATTTCATGGAAGAGTCTCCACTGCAATTCGCATTGTTGTCAAGTGATACCCGTTCAAGGGGCCATTTTGGGTAATTGAGTGACTATAGCATAACCCTAGACCTACTGCCAAGTCAAGGTTATGTAGATGGATCGATAGAATATATAGATTCCCGTCTTCATTCCTGCTTACCTACTCCGTACTCCTTGAGCATTTTCGTCATCGGCCATTTTAGTAAAGACCGTTCAGGAACATGCACTCTAGCCAATGATCAGCGAGAAATTTATGCTCCAAGGTGGTGACTAAGCAGGGCTGACTCACCGCGGGGCAAATGGCTCCGGAGCGATATCGCAGTGTCCCGCTCCAACGCCACGGACTCTCACTCTTCCTAGTCTCTATTCCAAGTGTCAGGAGGTAAGTACTATTGTGCTTTTGTTCAATTGGTGCTTTGAGATGTGATTCTTTCAACAAAACCAAACTTCAGCATTCACGGCCAGTCCCTGATCAAGTTCAGTGAGACCTTCCATGAGTGGGGGTATTGCTTTCAACCTGATCCGCTCGACTGGTTTGCCATGAGCTGTGAATGATTTGATCCAATTTCCGGATCTTTTGTGCTGTTTTCGATTGGAACTGTCTACATCATTGCTATTTCACTTGAACTCGAGTAACTAACAGCATCGGGTTTGATAGTCTTGAATCGCACAATGGCCTCATATCCAAAGAAGAAGTGCGGTAAGCAAGTCTTGGACAAGAGGTGTTTTGGAAGAGAAATATTGTACTGATACAAGGCAGGTGTCCTCGGAGCCACTGGCTCGGTTGGCCAACGGTTCATTCTCCTGCTCGCGGACCACCCCTTCCTGGAACTTCACGCCGTCGGTGCCTCGGAGCGCTCCGCTGGTAAGGCCTACAAGGATGCCGTGAGATGGAAGCAGACTACGGCCATGTCCGAGAAGCTCAGCAACCTTGTCCTTCGTGATTGCAAGGCCGAGCAGTTCGCCGACTGCGACTTGGTCTTCTCTGGACTTAACAGCGATGTGGCGGGAGATCTTGGTAAGAGGCTATTGACGCAACGTCTCTGGAAACCTATTGACCAAATGCATCGCAGAAATGGAATTTATCAAGGCCGATATCCCCGTTTTCTCCAACGCTAAGAACTACCGCAAGCATCCCCTGGTCCCGCTTATTGTTCCTACCGTCAACCCTCACCACTTCGACCTCATCCCTCACCAACGGAAACACTTCGGCCTGAAGAAGGGTTTCCTGGTTTGCAACTCCAACTGCGCCGTCATCGGCATCGTCATCCCATTCGCCGCGCTCCAGGCCAAGTTCGGCCCTGTTGTCGAAGTGGAAGTCTTCACTGAGCAAGCTCTGTCCGGAGCCGGTTATCCTGGTGTTCCCAGCATGGACATTTTGGACAATGTCATTCCGTTCATCAGCGGCGAGGAGGACAAGCTCGAGAACGAGGCGCAGAAGATTCTGGGATCTCTGAATGCTGATGCTACTGGTTTCGAGGAGCAAGCCGGCCTCAGAGTGGGCGCGACTTGCACTCGTGTTGGAGTCACTGATGGCCACATGGCATTCGTTTCTCTGCGCTTCAAGAACCGCCCGGCACCCAGCGCAGAGCAGGTTGTTCAGGCGATGAGAGAATATCAGTCCGAGGCACAGAAGTTGGGTGCCCCGTCAGCTCCTGCAGAGGCTATCAAGGTTTTCGACGAACCCGATCGGCCCCAACCCAGACTCGACCGCGATATCCATAAGGGATACACCGTTAGTGTCGGACGAGTCCGTGAAGGTCAGGAAGGTGGCTATTTCGATATCCGGTTTGCCGCCTTGTCGCACAACACCGTTCTGGGCGCTGCGGGATCCTCTATCCTCAATGCCGAGGTTGCCGTGATCAAGGGCTACATCTAGACGTTCTAGATAATAAAAATGTATATAGAGACTTGGGTTAGCTTCTTCATCTGATAAACAGCTTGAGAACTTAGCAGTCGGTGACAAGAAAGTGACGACCGAAATAAGTCGGTATCTTGACACGTGAAAGATGAGGGACCCACCTACAGTATTACATAATGATCAAGGTCGGCACGAACTAGTCTTTTATCAGCTTAGCGTAGAATGAACTCAATTTCAACGGGGTTAGGGCTCAACCCGGCAGCACCGGACGCTAAGCGAAAATTGAGAGCGCCCTGGATATCAGCAACTGAAGTCCCTGCCCCGACCGTCTTCTCTCTTTCGCGACACTCCGACAACTTAACCGGTTCAAGTCGACAAAGCAGCCAAGATGCCTCGCGGACCGTAAGTCCTGAGCCTTACCACACGAATTGTGACTTTCATGCGACTGCGACCATGTTTGCCGATTTCATCGAGACCAGCGAGTCGCAGGAGCAGATGGTTGCAAATTCAACTTGCAAGTTAGGGATGGAAGAGCTGACTCGATTGTTCGTGCAGTAAGAAGCACCAGAAGCGCCTTAGCGCGCCTTCGCACTGGCTCCTGGACAAGATGTCCGGAACCTATGCCCCCAAGGCCTCCCCCGGTCCCCACAAGCTCCGTGACTGCCTGCCCTTGATTGTCTTCATCCGCAACCGGTACGAACCCTCGAGCGACACGACGCGATCTGCGACCCGCCCGGAGGAACCGCGGCTAACAGCGAATATAGTCTCAAGTACGCCTTGAACGGCCGTGAGACCAAGGCCATCATGATGCAGCGTCTGATCAAGGTCGACGGCAAGGTCCGCACCGACCCTACCTACCCCGCTGGCTTCATGGACGTCATCGGCATCGAGAAGACCGGCGAGAACTTCCGCCTGATCTACGACACCAAGGGTCGCTTCACCGTCCACCGCATCCAGGCTGAGGAGGCTGAGTACAAGCTCTGCAAGGTTAAGCGTGTTCAGCTTGGCAAGGGCGGGATCCCATTCTTGGTTACGCACGATGCGAGAACGTGAGTGCATGCTCTCTACAAGTTCCGTGTCATTCAGTCGTTGGACCAAGCTTTGGTTGATCGGCGGAGGACGAAAGAACCGGAACGAACGGTTTCTTTACGGGAACATCGTAAGGGACCATATGAATGAACATTCATGCTAACAGGGCTTATCACAGCATCCGCTACCCCGACCCCGCCATCAAGGTCAACGACACCGTCAAGGTTGACATCACCACTGGCAAGATCGCTGACTTCGTCCGCTTCGACACCGGTGTCGTCTGCATGGTTACCGGTGGTCGTAACATGGGTCGTGTTGGTGTCGTCACCCACCGTGAGCGTCACGACGGAGGTTTCAACATCGTCCACATCAAGGACGCCATTGACAACACCTTCGCTACCCGCGAGTCCAACGTTTTCGTCATTGGCCAGGACAAGCCCTGGATCTCCCTCCCCAAGGGCAAGGGTGTCAAGGTACGTTCTATTTCTCGCACTCCGACCTGTATGTCAATCGAGACTGACCGATATTGTTTTAGCTCTCCATTGCTGAGGAGCGTGACCGCCGCCGTGCCTACGCCATCGCCAACTAGATGTAGTTCGGTAAGTGTCGTAGGATACAGCACATCAAAAAGCTTTGAAAAATTCCGCTGGGGAGACGACGTCTTGTCTTGCTTTGTGGGCCTGTATGACGCCGGTTACGATAATATGAAGCGTTATCCAGAATCAAAAAAAGAGAAAGTTCTGTCCACCGGATATTTCACTGGGCGTGTCCATGTCTACCACGTTCTGTAGGCTCATACGTACCATCCATAGTCGCAAAGCAAGGATTTCTCCTAGTGCTTCTTGTCCTTTGTCGTAGTCGTATTCCTGCTTCACGCTGCATATGGCGGAGTTCCCGAAGACTCGTAGTCCGCAGTCTTACCTTCCCTGGTCCAGATTGGCAATCCAACCCACCCACCGGCGACCGATGGACTCAACTCACTCGCCGGGATAATAATGGATTAATCACCGGTCCCTTGCTGGTCGGAACCTTGAATTGCGGCCCCATTCCCAAGAAAGTCCACTTGTCCGCCGGGCCGTCCCCTTCTGACTAGTGCAATCAACCACTGGGAGTGGGCAGTCATAGTCTCCTCTTTTGAGACATCCATTTCCACTCACTCCATGGACTCCATGGAGTGAATGGAGTCCTGAGTCCTATGGAGAAGTCCCACCTCTCAGCGAGTCCGATGGATACATGGCTTGGACTAGTGAGATTGGATGCGACCGGGCCCTTCTGTCGACTGCCTTTCCCAGACTGGCGGACAGGACAGGCGTTGATTATCGTACAAATCCTACCACGTCTTACTTCCTCTGAGCGCACGATGGGTGAGGTCGAAAGTCCAGTTTACCGCTCAGATCTAAATACTAAACACTAAACACTAAACATCGCATAGGCTTTACCAAGAGCGGGGCCTCGGAATCAATGAAAGAGCAGGCAACTAACTCACTGACTCCGATCTTACATGCGCCCATTCGACCTGTAGAGGTCGCTATATCTGCTGGACCAACGAAGCGGCCTTGTCATCAAGGAACATTCCTCCGCCGACTTGCAAAGTTGTAAGCCTTTGCCATCTGAGACCCTCTCCCCTCTCCCTTCTCCTCCAAAGGTAAGCCGCTCCACCCACACCCATAGACCATACAGGTGCAAGATAACACGTCTACTTCCCCCATATGCATGGCAATATAGATCCTCCGTCTTCCCTCCAATTCCCTTCTGGCTCTCTATTGCACCCAGGAGGGGGGGGGGGACTGCAAGAGGATCGAGCCTAAGAGACTCCGGTTACAGCTGCTACAGCGGCTACAGCTACTACCACGGTAGTAGGTAGTAACTTGCTTCCAGACCATCCAATAATCCTTGTCTCTTGCCCAGAGATATTTGGGATCCATCCTTTTTTTTTTCTCTCTTTCAGGCTTCCTACTGTTCTCCTTCTTCCGTCCGTTTAGGCCGATTTTCGGTCTGATGGCGTACGAAGCATGAGATGAGCACCGACCACGCAGCCTCGAACACCTGATGGGTTCAGACGTCTTTCGGTCAAATGACAAGTCATTCTCGTCGGTTGATCTTCGCTCGGTTTTGGGGCACCAATTGTGATTGATATTAACCAGACGCAGCCGTGTCAGTTATCCAGGTTTCAATATTGTCTTCCCAACATTGATTGTGTGGGATTTTCGATCAGGTCAGCATTGGCGCTCGGAATCGATCGGGAAAATGATGATTACGATCATTCGCTCAGACCTTATTGCCTTTCCCTGGTGAGATCGATTCCTAGGGCTTGTCAGCTTGGCTGGATGTTTTGACCCAGAATTTTTCATTATTGCTTTCCCCTCTTGCATGCTATTCCTCTTCTTGGGGCGCGCCATCGAGGTTGCCTCTCTACTGGCCCAGCCTGTCCGGCCTGGCAGGATACCGACAGGAGTCGTCCGAATGAGCGAACCGAAGACGACTCACCACCGCCGTTAGGTCGGCGTGCACCCAGCTTGTGCCACTGCATTGGCTGGCTGAAAAAGGGTGCTGGCAGGCCCTGCCAACTCGTTGCGGAGAGGCCCCGATTGCGGAGAAGTTACCCAGCATCCATCTGCTTGTTTGGCAGATGAGCGCAAAGAATTTATATCAACCACTCAGAGGTAACGGGATGGTTGTTGAATCGTAAGCCACTGACTGTCACTGATCTTGACCCCCTTCCCACGCTTCGACACGCACATACCCACGCACCACCACCACACTTTAACTCCGAGTCAGGTGTCATGCATGCTGCGAGCGATGGACCAATCTGGATTGACCGCGCAAGCCCAGGATCCGAACAAAGGTCATCACTTCGGCAGAGTCGCTAGCTGTGGTCTGCTCTCGCGCGCTCTGTCTCACTAAGTGACTAACTTATCTATTCTCGTGCTTAGTCATGGGAGGCTAAAAAAGCGCATCATGAACATGATCGATCTCTTTTTTTTTTTTTTTTTTTTTTTTCTTTTTTTCGCTTTTTCGGTTTTTGATTGTAAACTACGGAGTAGATCCGTGGGAGAGGTTCTCGACAACCGTTGTTCCTTCCCGCAATTGACGATGGCTCGCATTCCACCCAAAGAGTCCTATGAGGTTCAAGAGTATTGCTCTTCCAACCGCCGTTGTTCCCGTAGCTTTCATGCTTGTAGCCATGCACCCATTCACCCACCATGGCTTCCCGCTCTTCAGAGTCTGGACTCAACAAACACCCCAGACAAGACAGACTATCGGCCGGCTTGTCACCATTCTTGATCTCTATCAGACCTTCTCCAGGGTGAACAGCTCAAGAGACACAGCCCGTCTGGCTGCAGGCAAGGTCACTACGAATGCTAGTGGTCGGATTCGACCATGTTAATGGTCACACAGCCAGGAATCTGGACAGCATCACTTTACGCCTGTCCCCGCTACGAAATTAGACCAGACTAAGTACATACAGAATGAGAAAGAGAGGAAGAGAGAGAGGGTCTTGTCTCGCCCCCGGAGGTCCCTCGCTTTCCTTATTTTCCTTATTTTCCTTATTTTCATTTTCATCTTCCTATTTCTCAATTAACTATTTCATTTCTACTCGCTCTCTCGTTTCTCTCTCGCCTTCGATCGGTTGGGCAACTTGGCGACCAAATTTACTGTACCAATTGGGAGGACAGTGACCGACTTCTGATATCAGTCCGACCTCGGATAGTAACTCCGTTCACTGAGAGCTCCTCAAAATCTATCAATGGCGCGACGTGGACTGAGAGAGAGCGGGACGGTATGACGACCTAGGCAAGGGAGAGAGAGGGAGGCAGGTATTCTGCAGGCTGCAAGCTGCACCCAGTTGCAGCATAAGGATACGGAAGGCTGATAGTAGAGATTTCCCGGGATAAGAAGGAGGGACAAAAAGAGGAGAGCAGAGGAGAGGAGGAGTGAGGGGGTGGAGTCCCATGAGAAAAGAAAAGATTGAGGTGGAGGGTCCAAGCGACAATTGCAAATGGATACATCGCATCGATGCATTCCAATTCAATTGGGACCAGGGTTTCTGAGTTGACGGGCCTCCCGCCCGCGGCACGGCACTTTGATCTTCCTGTAATCTGTAATCTGTAATCTGTAGTCACTTTCAGAGTCTCAATGCTCTTTCTTTCTTCGCCATACTCTGTACTCCCTACTAAGTATTCAATTCTTCCCCTGCGCCACACCATCGGACAACCCCACCCACCGTGGAGATGCACCACTATTCGTTAGTTATCATTGTTTTTGATCTCTTTTGGTGATTCATCAACATACTCCTCAACCATAACTTAGTCGCGCATTGGTCTCTTTCTAGTTTTTACTCGTACTCAACTCACGCTCGGGTGGATCACCGCATGTCTTTGCCGTTACGTCGACGGTCGCCAACAGCCACGAGCTCCTTCGGTACACCATCCCTAGGGTGATTGGCTTGATACAATGTTCACTTTCTTTCCCTGGGCTTTGTCGATGATACCGTCCTAGTCCCGTCCACGCCATGCTTCGCCCTTTCTTTCCACCCACTCAATTCATTAGTTCACTAGGTACATACTGTACTTTTTCTGTACGAGATGTACATGAGTGAACCTACTGTTTCTCCCACTGTTCACATACAAGATATGTACTCCGTACTGCGGAGTACTTGTACTCAGAGCTGCTTCTGCCCGATTCGTGGAAGTCGTCAGAAGTCGCGGTCACACCAATTCCTCTTACGCCTTTTGACGCCTAGATTGCTGAATGCAACACATTGAAGGTACCCTGATTTACCCAGACACCCACATCGAAGCATCGAAGTCGAACAAGGAAAAGAAGATGGAATGGATGGGTCACCTTCAGCTGTGGGAAATCCCTAGGGCCGTTCATCATGCAATCGACCACCGGTAGTTTCAACTTTTGCCCCAGTCTGCCAGCTGGACTGGTAAAGGGCATTCGACACTCCTGGGAGTCCATGATTTCGGTTTGCCTTCTCCGTGATCATCATCAGCTGGTTATGAGTATACAGCTATACCCTTCGTTGCTGGGCGTCCTCGTCATTCGTTCCAACGGCCTGGTGAGTTGAAGAAGCAACAAGGAACAGGCCCGACTAAATTAGGGCCCGCAGTAGCAGAGTCGCTAGCCACTGCTAGCCACTTTTCTGTCCCCCTCCCCGATCCAGCATTTGCCTTGCTACCGACGCTCCAGATGGTGGCAACTAAAGGTGGATTCGTACAGCTCCCATCTGGGTCTTCCCGAGAGATGGTGCCTTATAGGATCATCGACTATCCCCGGCATCAGCATGACGGACAAGACGACGGGTTCAGCCCCGTTCCTGGCGTCTGCTGAAGCCTGAAGCAACCTCTCAGAGGGGAGACCGCCCGGGGCCGGCTGAAGGACTTCGCCTCACGATCTCGGCCTGATGTATATTTGACCTCATTATTCAATTTCTCGATACACCGCTACAGTGATGATGAAGGTGATCCTTTCATTCATTCATTCTGACTTTCACTTTCACTCTCACTTTCACTTTCGCCCGTTTACCCTGATCACTGGAGTCTTGGGTGAATCTTCCAGAACCCAACGAATACTGCATGGCCAGATGTTCCATCCCGGCTGCTGACCGCTTCTCCTGCCCTTTTCCTTTATCCTGGTTGGTTTTCTTCTTACCCCATATGCCACCTATTGATCCACCGCCGCCGTTGGCTGACAGCCATTCATTAATGGCTGGTATTATCGGTGGTGCTATTGCCAAACGGACTGGTTTTCGCTCAATGGCCGCCGTTCCGATTCTCGTCTGCCCTGCTGATTGTCTTCAGTCCATGTGGGGGTTGTTGCGTCGTCGCAACCGCCCCTAGACTAACTACTAGCTAGATAGAATAGACGCCCTCCCCTAGACCTAACGGTCCTATCCTAGGTTGCACGCGCTACCTGCCCGGTGGTAGTAGTGTGGTTGGCGACGACGCTGGCGGCGACCTAGACTGATTGGCCTGGGCAAGTCAGCTAAACGAGGTCTAATTCACGCCTTCAGCTTAGTTGTTAAGGTGTTGAGGTAATCTCCGTAGCTTCAGCCTAACCTGGCTCTCGGGTCCCAGTGGTTCGGATCAGCGCCAGCCCTTTTTCACTGAGTACTCTCTTTATTTATGATCTAATTTAATGCAGTACGCAGTACTTACCGTCTTCTGCCCGGGGATTTGGATTTTGGATTCTTACAGGTTCCAAGTTGATTTGATCATCCCTGATGTCTTGTCTCTTGTATGGAATGCGCCACTTCGCCGCCATCCCTTTTGGCCGTTCGACCGCGTCAAGCAGCAAGATACCGTCCTGAACCCTCGTGAGTTGTCAAACGTGGCAAAGTGAGGAATGAGCAGTTCACGGCTGGGACATTGACCCATCCTCTTCAGTAAATCCTCGGGGCGAAAAAAAAAAAAGTGGAGGTTGCTATGACTTTGACCTTAAGCTTGGTATCACTGGAGGGATGGATGGTGTGAATGTAATAAAAGCTTTTTTTTCTCTTTCTGTCCCTCTTATCAGGAGTCAATCCCCCATTCCAGTCGGTTCCTGGTTATAGTATCCATCATTTTCTCCACCGGTGCTGCTGTTGGCCTCTCCCTGCTCTGGCCTTTTTTTGGTGTGCGCTACCATCCACTATTATTAGTGTCAGTTCACATCGATTACTGACCTCCCTGTGGGGTTTGAACCCAATCTGTAAGTCTCCTCTGACGTCGATGGTCCTTTGGACATATGCCTGATCCGGGGGACGTTCTAGAATTCAGCCCGTTCAACCGTCTGCCGGAGATCTTGCTTCCGTCTATACGTCTGGGTAGTAGTTAGTGGTACAAGGGACTAAACCAGGGAAAGGGAAGAGAGAAAAAAACAAGAAGGGAAAAAGAAAAAATAAAGAAAATCCTGGGGTCAATTTAGAAAAAAAGAAGAAGAAGAAGTCAAGGTGGTGTGCAGGTCACTTACATGTGAGTTAAATCAGACTGACTGACTGACTGAGGGAGTGCGTGTGGTGTGTACGATTCCTCATCTACTAGTTGTTACTATCTATCGGGGTCTTTCTTCTTACAGTACTGCAACCACCGCCTCTCGACTACTACTGCTACTACCACTCTATTCTCTCTATTTCTCTCTCTCTCTCTGTCTGTCTCCCCCATTCCCATCCCCCCTCTCATTTCCTCTCCCCACTCAAACCCCCCCCCACTCACTGTGAAAAGGAGACACTTTTACTTTTTGAACACCTCGCCGTCATACTCCCAAGAACACCAATTTGGCTTTCTTGTCCTCTTGTTTCTGACTTTCCCGTGGTGCAGCCGTGGGCAATGTCCACATACTCCCCTTCCTCCACTGGCGTGCCCGTCATGTTTGATCCACCGGCCTACCCGTCTATCTTCCGTGCCGGGGCGGAGATCCCTCCGTTCTACCTGAAATACCGCTGGTGGGAAGATGAGGCCATGACCATGCTGTGGGCCTTTGACATCCAAGAGATCAAGCGGGCGATCCGCTTCGGCCTCTTCCGAGACGAGAGTCTCCCGCGAACTGCCTTCCAGAACCGCAACGCCAGTGCCATCGACACCTTCTTATCGGAGCTGGTCGAGCCCCATGAGAGGGCCTTCATCGGCAACCTCTCCCACATCCAGAAGGTGGAGGAGATCCTGCGACGGTGCCGGAAAGTAGACCCTGCGCTGGCGACGTGGAGTTGGTTTCCCGCGCAAGGGAACCGGAACATGACTGCCATCGGGATCGCCGAGGACCTCGACCAGGAGAGCCATCTGCATTTCACTCGGATCCCCTTCGAGGAGCTGGTGCGTTACTCGCTGGGCTACTCGGCTCCCTCGGTGGAGTGGTTCCTGCAACAGCATACTGCGTTGCATATTCACTTGCTGCACCATCTTCAGGCGTTTCCGGAGGAAGTATCACTGTATGTCGAGGTGGAACAGGTTCGTCAAGTCCTATCAGAAAGTGCTTCAGAAAGATGCTGATAGTAGCGGATAGCATCTTCGCAGCCGGAGCCCCTTTGCCTTTCGGGCTGTGACGGCTTGTCTGCGTGCTCTTCGAGGCGGTCATATCGTGGCGAGTCCCACGACCCCAGCTTTCGAGTTCATCGCCGGTCCGATCCAGGAGTTGTTCAAGGAGATCTCGCCCAGCTTGAAGTCCATTCTCAAAGTGCTATGCGTCTCCGCCGTGCGTTACAAGCAGGCTTACGTGCATACGCGGCACATGAACTGGATTCGACCCTTCAAGCTCAACTTGGCGTTCTTGGAAGATCTGACGGGGTCGACTTCGCCGCTGGACTTTGCCCGTACGATGGCCCATATCGATGAAGGGTATCTCACGGGGCTCTCGCAGAAAAGCTTCGTGGAGCCCGGGCCGGTGGTCAAGCGGGTATTTACAGAATGGGAGCTATTGAGCATAGCGGTGTGGGAGTGTTGTACAGCGCTTCCGGAATTGGTGGGCTACATCCAGGAATGTGTACAGGTGGGCATCCTCTATCAGAAGCAAGATCTGGGAGAGCGCTAATCTTGAGATCAGGCTCTACTGATGGTTCGGAACTACCACTCCCTCACAGCTATTATCGATGGCCTTCGAAAGTACAGCATCAGCACATCCACTAGTGTCTCTTCCTCCCATGTGGCCCCTTTCATGCTCCCTCCCGACTTCGAGATTCTGTTGGACCCTTCTGAAAACTTCGTCGCCTACCGACAAGCATTTACCACCAACCCGGGCGTGCCCTTCCTCGTCCCTCATATCCGCGAATACCAGCAACATGGCCAACCGGCCTTACAGCAGCTCTTCCAGCACATGCGGCCGTCTCCTCTGCGCCAATGACCAATCCGAGCGCAGGCACGCTCCAGAAACAACAGCGAAAACAGTCGGGCAACCATACCCTGACCACACGAGCACAATCATAGCGGCAATACGGTGGCGTTCTCGCTATGCCAGGCCAACCGAGTCTTACGACCGATCGTCTCATAGGACACGTAATAATCCTACACCGAAACCCCATGCCTGACGAGGCCTGCTTCTTCTTACTTTGATCTATCTTGCGACACAGGCTACGCAGGCGGGCGATCTTACCCCCTCTTTGGCTGTTCTTACTTTTGGTTTCCTCCCATTCCTAATAGTCTTTTTTTTTTCGGATATGCTTGTTAGTGCAGATTGTTCTTTGCGAGGGCTTTTGGTTCTATCAACTACCAGGGACTGTATTTCTAATGCATCTAGATATTGAGCTGTTCATAACTCCAGCGGCAGATTGGGTTCGTATATGTGGTCAAGGCGATGTTTCGAGACAGGTCGTTTACGTATGAGAGGGAGATCCATGATCCCCCAGAATCTATGAACCCGTAGTGAGCTCCCAATGAAGAAAATGATCATCCTGGCTTCAGTCGGATGTACGGTACGGTATCCTGTTCGGTGTCGGGGGTGGCTGCTGGACATGGGTAGGGAGTCGTAGACTCGTAGTGGAACTACGTGGGCGTCGATACATCACCTCAGCGTATGCAGTGCTGCTCCGCAATCTGCCCTGCTATGCAGCTGAACTTGTGTATCCGGGGATCACGGAGTTCTAATAATCACTCGCCTCCGCCGGGGAAGGGGAAAGTACGGGGCCAGCTCCATTCATGCATCCATGCCTCCATGCCTCCATGCATCCGTCCATCGATCATCCCTAGCCCTGGGCATCTGCTACGTATTGCTCTTCTGTGGTCCATGCGATAGTGATCGATTCCTGCGTCGGGGGGACAAGTCCTCGCCTTACCTCTGTCATATGTCATGTGTTTTCCCTTTCGGTGTGCTTGCAGAGAAGAAATAAATAGTGTCCAAGGTATGTACCGGTTTTGACCTCATGTGAGGTCTGCTGAGTCTTTGTGGTGTGGTGCATACTAGGTACTAGTTGAAGTCAAGTTGAGATTGCACAACGTAGGTTCGACAACAACAGCAACAGCAACAGTACAGGTGGAGACAGACGACAACAAACACGAAGGTTCAAGACCCAGATCTGGCGTCCACCGTACTCCATACGTTACTCTGTAGTGATAACCTTCGCGGCAGTCAGTCAAACTTCCGGAGCGAGGATTCAGCCAGCCGAGGGAGCCATCTGCTCTGATTTACTACGATACTAGGTAGTCTTTTTGACGTAGTTTCATTCCTGCTAAACAGTTCTTCCCTCCGTACATTTACTACATACATCTCCCAAACAACCCCGTCCCATCCGCCACAAAATCAAGAGCAAGGCAACCGACACAGCCCACATCCTCCCAAGCCCAAGCTCACGCAACCTTCCTGCCACGGTTCGCTTCGGTCTTCCCCGTCCTGTCGACAGGTTGGCACTCCCCCAACCACCCCCCCAGAAACAGCACGCGCTGGACGCCCAGAAACGCCGTGACCGCCACATTGCCCCAGGTCAGGGCGTTCCACCCGCCCACGTCGCCGAACCGCGCCCACCCCATCCCCCACCCCGTGGCGGCGATGTGGCCCACGTCCGCCACCAGCAGGGCCAGCAGGTAGCGCCGGATGACCGCGGGTTCGGTCGTGGTGCGCAGGATGCCCAGGCCCAGGAGGGCCAGCAGGCCGTACAGGTTGCCGAGTTGGTAGGCGAGGGAGATGGACTGGGGTTGGATGGGGGTGGGGATGGGGTTAGATTGGCCTGGGGGGTGAGCATGGGCGTGAGCTTGGGGGATTTGGTCGGTGATGAAGGCCGGGAGGTTGATGAGGGGGCTTAGGGCCCCAGCGATGCTGGTGATGGGTTAGGTTGTTGTTTTGTTGGTGCTGGGGTGCTATTTGGGGATGTTTATGGGCTATATTCTCGATCTATTGGAGATATGTTTGGGTGGACGTACAGTGAGATGGGCTCCAAGATGCCGAAGATTAGGTTGGGCCATGGGGGGAGGATGGAGGGCATCGTGACTGCAGTGTTGTGATGAGTCTACCAGATAAATACCTGTTTGGATTCAATTTATCTGGGTCGATAATCAATCAAATGAGTGTAGAAGTACGGAGTACGGAGTATCTGTACAGAGTACAGAGTATCTGTAAACTGCTCCGTATCTCGCCCGATTGGGAAGTGCTGATTCAGCAAACCGGTTTTGCGCGCTTGGTGGCTTTCCGCGCCCCTACAACGCATAGCCCCGAGCTTCTTTCCGCCCGGCGCCCGCGGTAGCAAGCAAGGTAACTCCAAGTTACAAGAGCTACTACGGAGTAACTTACTAGCGATCATTTCTACCTCTACCTACTCCATACTTGACTTTCCATTCTCTCTTCCCCCACCTCCCCTCCAAAAACAACAGAAGAAATTCTCCCTACCTCGATCCACTTTTGCTGGATCATAGTCACCGATCCTGCAAAATGGCTCATGGCTACGTGGGGAGTCTCATTCCATCTCTGGTGATCTTTATCCCTGCTTTCATCGTTTGAATGCTGCCCTCCTGGATTCCGTGAAGAAACGACCATGGATTCCAACACCACCTTCACCCGGCCGTACGACGATTCGTTGATTCGAGAATTACCCCAGCTCCAGAGTCTCCGCATAGCTCCTCTCCGTCAGCCCGTCTCGCGGTTGCTGAGTGTGCCTGCGCCGCTGGAGCCGAATGCCAGCCGGGTCCGCGAGGCCACCGCTGCTCCCACGCCCACTAGCTCGGCGGGCATTCTGCCTGGCCCCCGGAACAATGATTCCGTGGCCGCCATTCCCGCCGAGCGTCTGAAGAAGACTGATCCCTCCGTGGACTCGCTCCTTAGCCTCGAGCCCCCGCCGCCCAAGCCCATTCTTCCCGCCTTTGTGAATCCCCGTTCTCTAGAACGGTTCCCTTATTCATCGTTCGACGATGATGCCCATCATTCCCGCAAGCGGCGCCGGGTCGGCGTGCACGCCGAGACCTTCGCCGAGCATCTGCAGCTGCCCATCCCGCAGGCTCAGAAGGAACAGCGCCCGCCCCCGTTCGGGCCCTTTGCGATCCTGAATGGGCTCAACGAGCCTCCCCCCAATGCCGCTCTTCTGCCGCCCATCGAAGCTGGCTCGAGCATCGCGCAGCTGCTGACTAAACCCTCCCGGGACAGCTCGGTCGTCGAGCCGGCGTCGCTGACCACTTCCTTTGGGGAGGGTCCGACAGGCGAAAGACGAGAGGGCAGGATCGAGGATATTCTGGCCTCCCCCATTGCCACGAAGACGGCCCCGAGCGACCGCGGTGGCGCTGTGGCCGTCGGACTACGAGACGACCCGGTCGCCGCGAACCGGCCGCCATGCGACAAGACCGACGACGGGGAGTCGGGCGACAAGAAGTCATCCTCCGCTGACGAGAACGAGGAGCCCATATCCCCCAAGACCCGGGGCCGTTCTCGTAAGAACCTTCGCAAGTGGACAGAGGAGGAAACCACGGCTCTGCTACGTGGGGTGGTCAAGTGCGGCATTGGGAACTGGACGGCGATCCTGGCTCAGCCGGAGCTGAAGTTCAACAAGCGCAGCGCTTCCAACTTGAAAGATAGGTATGGTCAACAGCAATAGCTTCGAGGTGGATGTACTATGGAAGCGAGATTCAGGGTGTCGACTAAACACACATCTAGGTTCCGCGTGTGTTGTCCCTGGGCCTACCGGTAAGTCCTCGGTTCTGTGGGAAGTACATCAGCACCGACTCCAAGCTGATTGTCTATAAGGGCTGCCGACCCGAACGAAGCCACGCGGCAATTGCACGACACTCTGGCCAATGCCCTCTCGCGGGCCGAGACGGAAGGATCTGATGGCACAGCCGGGAAGATTCACTTGCCGCATCCCCGACCAGCCAATGCGGAGTCGCTCTCGGTAGGGAACAGCGTGACGGTGGGCTTGAATGAGCCATCCTCCGGCAGTAGCGGCAGCAGCTCTTCGAACACCAAGGAGCCCGCTCTGAAGTCCACCAGCTCCAAGCCGAACTCCACGGTGAAGGCAACTCCTACGCTAACCAGCAAATCCAAATCGACCTTGGCGTCCCTGGGGATCCCGGAACCACACTTTGCCATGAAATCCCGGCGTCGTTCCCGACGGCCCTTCACCGTGGCCGAGGACGAAGCTCTGCTCAAAGGGTATGCGGTGCATGGGTTCCAATGGACACTAATTCAGCAGGACACACGGCTGGGCCTCGGCCATCGCAGGGCCACGGACCTGCGCGATCGGTTCCGGACCAAATTCCCGCACGCGTACCGCGACGGAGGCTCCGTGAGCGGTCGAACCCTCCATGACCAGGGCAAGGAGACTTCCGACGCGCGAGATGACAAGGACGGCACGAGCTCGGGCAGTAAGCAGGGAGCGCCACCTTCCAAACCCCCAGAAACACGATCCGATCTTCCAGGCCAGTCCACCCTAGCACCCATCGACCCTGCTCTCTCCCCGCCTGCTCCGCCCCAGGGTCTACTAGAAAGCTCATCCACTGCAGCCGCAGCTGCAACCGCCCCGGCACCGGCCCCCGGCTCCGCATTCCCCTTCCCCTTGGACGAAAACACCGGGACTAGTGATAACACGTCATGGACGGACAATACATTGGCGCCGATGGTGTGGGATGAGATCGGATAGCGATTTTTGCATCTCGCATGACTGGCCCCTTCCAACTGCTCTTGTAGATTCCGGGTTGATTTCCCGGCTTAATGACTCACGCATGTTGCAAACTTCACTCTATACCGTGCTCGGTTGATATCTGGCCAAGGGTTCGTCCTCTATCTATCAGAACCGTCATGTACGTCCAATGATTTTGGCTTGTCTCGAAGTCGGAAAAAATAGTCAGGTAGCACAGTACCACTTACCACCTATTCGGTTTCCTCCGCTATCGCTGGCAATAGTCTAAACCCAGCCATCCCTTCACAGAATTACCACCACTCAGCTTACCTTGGAATCAACAACGGCAACTTCATTCATGACCCACAATCATATCCAATACTATACAGTACAATGCAGCCTTCCCATGCAAGAAACATAGCATCACCAGGAAACAACACCCCATCTCATCAGCACTAGTCACTCACTACCCAGTACTCACATATAAGCACGTCAGCTATCATGCACTGCGGCGTGATAAGCACTGTATCTTTATTTAACGCAGGGAAATATGCTTTCCGCTACACAATATTATGAGGGTAGGGTAGGGTAGGCTTCTCACATCCCCCGAATCCGCATTCTTTTTCGTTAATGTTGCGGTTTGACCCGAGGGTGGATGCGACGGAACTCCAGGAAAGGGGTGAACTAGGTGGCATACATACCGAACCTGCCGGGCTGATACATTCCCTGGGGGGGGTCCGGGGTGGGGAAGGATCCCGGGATCTGGATTTTCGGGGCCGGGGCGTTTCATCTTTCCGGGGTTGAGTTCGGGGGGGTTTATTCTTGATTCTGAAGGGTGTACTTCGTAGTGCATAGGACTGGTGTATTCCGAGGGCGTGTTCAAGTAATGTGCTTATGGGGGCTTGATTGGCTATACCGAATCCTTGATAGTGTACGGATACTCAATCTGCCGTCTGGATCTTAGATCTATATACGGGTGCAGGATTGGGGGCAGATAAATCCGGTTTATTACACTTTTTGGTAATTGTATAAAAATTGGATCCTCCCGTTGCGCCTTGTCCGCGGAATCTCGAAATCGATACTCCCCAATTTCATGAAGATTATTATCTCAGTAGAAAAAAAAATCAAGCGGGAAGCAATCATTGCTCATCACTGCTCTGATCGTCCGTATCGCTCGTCATGACCGTATCCTCGGCATCCATCTTCTTCAGCACGGCGTCGCCCTTCCGCCCCTTCTTCTCGGCGGCGAACCACGCCTCCCGGCGCCGGGTCTCGCGCTCCTCCTTGCGGGCCTGGCGCCGGATCTTCTCGCGCTGCGCCTGCGCCTGCTTCCCGTGCAGCTCGTTGATGTAGTCGTGCAGGTGGGCGACGTCGGCGCGCAGCTGCGTCACCTCGTCGGTCGTGGACTGGCGCGCGGTCGCGTGGATCGAGGCCTTCTTTTTCAGAACGGCCAGGTCGCCTTCCAGCTGCGCGATCTGCGCGTCCTTGGCGAAGGCTTCTTCGTCGGTGATGCCGCTGTTGCTGCCGGTGGAGGAGCCCCGGTCGAAGGCGGCCAGTTCCGCGAGTCCTTCCTCGAGCATCGATTCCGGGAAGTAGGCATGCGTGAAGGCCGAGGTGAATTGGTTGGGTCGGGAGGTGGAGGAGGTGGAGGGGAAGAGATGCGTGCTGAAGGTGTAGTCCGCCGGGACGGTGCCCGCGGGCTGGGAGGATTCGGACAATGTGTGGTCGTAGCGGGGTTTGACGATGGTGTGCGACATGCGGGTGAGGTCGAGGGACGGGTACGAGAGGCCGGTGGGGGGCAGCATGATGAGGTTCGTGATCGGGTGCGTGTAGTCGGCCACGGTCGAGGCGTACTTCTTCCGTCCCACGTTCCATGATAGGACCTTGCCGTTCTGGTGGCCGGAGAGTAGCGTCATTCCGTCATACGAAAGCGTGAGCGTGTGCGCCGCCCCGCTGTCGGCAGAGGGGGGCGCCCATCGGTCTTCGGCGGAGGGTTGCACGGGGGTGGAATGCAGAGAGGGGTCGTGGAGAGGGTGTTGGATGGATTGGTTCTTGTAGAAGTCGACCGACTGGATGCTGCCGTCTGCGTAGCCGACGTAGAACGCTCGGTCAACGGGGTCGAGGGTCAGGCATGTCGCATTCCCGGACAGGAGAAACGTGCGCAGAAGACGACCGGTGCGATAGTCCCATGCAATTGCAGTGCTGTCTTCCGCGATCGAAACGGCGATGTTGTATCTGCCGACGCTGTGGCCCACGGCGATAGAGGTGATGGCGGCGCGGTGGTTCGAGAAGGTCCGGATCGGGGAGTTCGGGGCTTGACGATCACGGCCCGACGGGGGTTTTGTGAAAGAGAGGAGGTCGACAAGCGACCAGACGTGGATACTCGCATCGGATGAGCCGGAGAGGATGAAGTTGGAGGTAGGGTCGACCACTAGGGAGGTTACTGGCCGCAGATGGGATGCTGTGGTTGCTATTTGTCGACCAGTGCAGGTCTGATTGACAAGGTACCGATTAGCCAACAAGCGAAGCAGGACATCATAAGATGATGCTCAAGCAGCAACTCACCTCCCACAAAATAAGACGGCCACCTTCTGTGCCCAAAACAACGACGTCCCCATTCTTCCCTCCCGCGAGCGCGATACTACGTATGCGCTCCGGGAAGGGGACTGTAGCCTCCTGGTTGCCCTTCTCCCTGCTATATACGTGAACAATTGCCTTCTCCGACTGTGCAGCAAACACATGCGACGGGCTCACAGCCAGGCAATTGGCGGCCGTCGAGCTCTTCTTGAAGGTGGAGCGCAGATTAAGCGTGGGCTGAAACTCGTGCACGCAGATTCCGACATCTCTCAGACTAGCAGACGCCGGGGTCTTCCCCGACGCCGCAGTCGACGCAATGAAACACTCCGAGAGCATAACGTATTGATCCACGCAGGGGACTTGAAGTACGAATGCAAGATCTCAAGTCAACGTCTCTCTATCGCGCTTCTCCGAGCATTTTTTTTTGCGATACGCCAATCGATAACCGGCTGGTTTGCACTGTTTGCTTGATGGACAATATGCATTGGTATAGTGCTTATGTCAGCCAGCATAAGTTAAATCCCTGTGCTTCCCCGTACTGTACTTCGTACTGTACAAACAACATCCCATGATCTCATCTTCTCCCTCCTTGGATAATTCCTTGGTGCTACAGTCCCTTAGTTGGTCTCCTAGTTCTCCTAGCTCCCCTAGTATCCCTCGCTACTGACGAATCTGGAACAAGCACAGTGAGCTCCTTGGGATCTACGACTCCTGTATAACCACCGCCGAAGGAGCGTGTATAGCTGCGCGCAGCTTCACCACCTCCAAGAACCTTTGGTGGCACATATGGAATTGCTGGCCTCCAAACGGTATCTCTGGGCTATCTGAGCCAATCTCAGATCTCCGCCCGCCGCAACCAAGCTGGAATCCTCTCACCTGCTACTTAAATTGCGCTCAGCGTTGAGGCAGCATGGGCCAATCTAAGGGCTGCGCCTACGGCAACCGATGCAAGGGGCTTATTTCCAGGGGCCGGCCACCTGAGATTGCCCGGCGCAACGTCTATGTTGAGAGACAGCCGCACCGAGGATCTTGTGACGTTCACCAAAGGACTGGCACAAGCGCCCTCCATCTGCATGTCTCATTCCTTCCTAATAGATGATATGCAAACCCAGAGAGAGAGAGAGCGGACCACCCACGTTGCCCTGTGCCTGCAGGTGGCGCACGTCCGGACCTTGGCCCAATGACTGTGCCTACTTCTCGATCCTACCTCTCTCTGGTATGCAAGGAAATAGGCGTGCTGGCCCTTCACTCTTCACCCATGTTCCAGAGTGTTAGACGACCCTCCCGAAGGGGGCGAACACGCATGCTTAATGTCTTTTTTCCTGTCACCGCAAGGCAGTCAAGGGATACTTGAAGCGATGTAACGCCCTGGTATAAGGTCTGGTGGGCCGCTTCAGCGCTCATTCCGTGGTTTTCTTTCTGTCCTCTTTCTCTGGTTGCTGTTAAGGAGCGGCATTAGACCTGGCGGACCCTTCAACTTTCGTTGCTCATCCATATCGACCTAGCAGCCATGTCTTCGACGGACGGCCATTCCGTCAAGATGCAGTTTCATCTGCAAGATCACAATTACCACCATGCAATATCTGGAAATCTGCCAACATTTGTCAACAGGAGCGTGCCAAGCTACAGTGTACTAAATCAAGTTTCCAATGTGAGAGGTAACAATTCGTCGTCACCCCGGTACTCGCCCAATATCCAGCCTTGGAAGAGACAACAAGCCCCGAGCTCATTGTCATTTGTTCCTTCGCCAGCGCCCCGCATTGAACAACCAGAATATACCACGGCACAACCACGGACCAGTTCGGAACGCCCTCCTGTGTACATGTCCCCTTTCCGCTCTGTGCGTAAGATGAAGCAGCCCTTTGAGCTGCGTCTACCGTCCTCTCCTTCCACTGAGAGCCTTGCTGCAAGTGGCAAAGAGTCTCCATTGTCTCGAAAACCATCCAAGACTAGGACGCTTCGCCCATGGCGTTCTGATCAGAATCTCCGAGTCACGAGCATCGACTCTTTTGGTCTTCTGCCCAGCCCGCCTCTGTCAGACATCAGGTCACCACACGATTCACCTTCGTTCTATTTCTCGCCAAAGCCGGAATCGGAATCAGACTACAGTCAAAAGAGTCCCAATGGCTGCGGCTGCGTTGCAGGCAGAGAATCGTGTCGCGATTGCTACACCTCCCCTCAAAGTGAACCACGACAAGCTCCTAAGGACGTCAAAGGAAGCCCACATGTACGCATGGCTCACTCGCATCTAGCCAGACAATGCGAAACCAGCGATGGGCAATTAACGCCGGCTTCAACCTACTCGGAGCGCATGTCATCGCCAGCTCCTTATTCCGACTATGAACCGATTGGGAAAAGAAATTTCTCTAACTCATCCATTGGTGCAGGAAGAAGCAGATCAGGGACGGTGTCTAGCGATGGGAGTTGGGCTCCCAGCAGCTTATCATACTGGGAGCCTTGGCTCCAGCGTGCGCCAGTGGAAGGTGCAGAAGGCCAGGGCGAAAGGCTCAAGGAGCTGAATCGACGAAGAATACAGATTGTGCAGAAAAGCCCTCCACCTCCCCCACGGAAAGTTGAGTTGAAAGCAGCTAGACCGGCAGTGAGTCTTGTTCCAGATTACGAGTAGCATGAAGCTGACCCCGAAACAGATGTACGCGGTAGCAACCAAGACGAAACCCAAGTTGGTTGATATATCACGCCAGTCGTCCCCAGCAATGAGCTACTCGCTCCCAACGCCACAGCATCCTGTTCCATCGACTCCTGATCAAGGTCAGCAGGAGATATCAGCCTTTAGTCCCGACACGCCTCTGGAGATGTCCGACAGCGGCTATATCACACATCATTCATGCTATTCACCTAACGACTATGCCCACGCCAAGGCTCCAGCTGAGGAGGACGAGGACGACGATGAAGAAGACGAAGACGATGATGATGTGTACACCGACATCAGCTCTGTCGCTTCTGAGACAGTTGGCGAGACCACGATCGAGACCAAGTCGGCCCCCAGCCCGGAACTACCCAAATCACCACCCAAGCCAGAGGTACCACCAAAGTTTGCTGCGTCTGTCCAGGTATCGCCTGGCCGTTCCTCAACCTCCACCAAGTCGGAGAAGGAAGAGTTGGAGAAGTGGTGGGATCACGAATGGACTATCGACCAGCTGGAACTGTCTGTCAAAGACTTCCCACGGAACATGCTCCGCCTTACATCACCCGTCATTATGTTTCTTCGCCATAATAACGAGAGGGCACTTTTGCGGCCTTTCCGCACCATCTTCCCTAGCGTTGCCGAAAACCTCCTGGATGGCTTATGCGCCGCTCTGATTGCACGGAATTATGTTGTTTCTTTGGCCACTGCCCACCAGAGGAAGAGTCAGCTCAACCAGCGATCGCGGCTGGACACAGTCCCGGAAAAAGCCACCGCCGTATCAGGGACATCCAGTCACACCACCCCATCACGCCAGGTCCTCGAAATGCGCAGCATGCAGATTCGCAGGGACCTGGATAGAATTGTCGAAAAAATGCTCTTCGCCATATGCGGGCACGCGGAGGAGCATCTAAAAAGCGCCGTACTTATTCTCGCCCAAGTGCTCGAAACGAAAAACTAGGCAATCACTCATACCACCTTTCCTTTGTTGTCTTCTTTCCCTCTCAACGCACCGATCTATTCCCACACCTCATTTGAGTTCTTTTCTTGCCTCCCCGTTTCCTCGATGAGCCAGTTTTCCTGACTATACCACTCGTTCTGTTATTTCCATGTTGATGAGATCAGATTGCTTCGCCATTCATTCGTCCCTCTTCACTCACTGCAAGTTCTTCTTGTGAGCTGCCATCGCACGCTGATGGCCTGTCTACGCCTGTTCTCTTTACGTCTGTTACTTTTCTTTACTTGTGATTTCACTCCAATAGCCACTACGGTCGATGTATAATCTCTAGTTATCCCCAGTTCCTAGACTCTAATGATACCCTGCCAACCTGAACCATGTCGCGAGCATCAATGACTGTGCTGTAAGCCTACCATAGTCCTCTAGAGAGTATAGACACTCTTAATACCCAGGCAGGAAGCCCACCACGGCGTGGTCAATTAATCAGCAGGAACGCCACCAAAGTAGGGCAATGCACACCTTGCGTCCTGAAGGGGCTTAGTGGGCATGCAGGCGCCAAGCTGAGTCAGCCGCCGGCGGAACCGCAGCCGAAGTCTGATATCAGCTTGAATGTTTCCCGCGGAATCGAAACTCCCTTTAAGAGCATTATCTCTTGCCTTCCCCCACTCTCCCCTCCTGATCTTTGCTTGAGAAACAAAGATTCCCCATACAACAACTCTCGACCATGGCAGCTCCCTCCACGAACCGCCTACGGCTCCTCTGCTCGTCCCGCCGAGTGGCCGCCGCCACCACCTCTCCCAGCAGCACATTCCTCACCCGCAGCTACGCCACGACCGAGCCATCCTCCGCCACGGACAGCACCACGACCACCACGACCCCCCGCCGGCGCACCACCTTCACGGACCGGCTGAACTCGGGCCCCTCGTTCTCCGACTTCGTCTCCGGGGACGCCGACCCGATCGCGGACCCGAATGAAGCATACGCGCTGAAGACAGCGCTGGTCGGGCCGGCGGGCCGCAAGAAGGAGATGACGCGGCTGCCGTCGTGGCTGAAGACGCCGATCCCGGACTCGAAGAACTACCAGCGGCTGAAGAAGGACCTGCGGGGGCTGAACCTGCACACGGTGTGCGAGGAGGCGCGGTGCCCGAACATCTCGGACTGCTGGGGGGGCGGCGACAAGGCGGCGGCGACGGCGACGATCATGCTGATGGGCGACACGTGCACGCGCGGGTGCCGGTTCTGCAGCGTCAAGACGCTGCGCCGCCCGCCGCCGCTGGACCCGCACGAGCCCGAGAACACCGCCGAGGCCATCAGCCGCTGGGGCTTGGGATATGTGGTGCTCACCAGCGTCGACCGCGACGACCTGGCCGACGGCGGCGCCCGCCACTTCGCCGAGACCGTCATCAAGATCAAGGCCAAGGCCCCCAGTATCCTCGTCGAGTGTCTGACCGGCGACTACATGGGCGACCTCGAGATGGTCAAGCTCGTCGCCCGCTCCGGCTTGGATGTCTACGCCCACAACGTCGAGACCGTCGAGGCCCTCACCCCCTTCGTCCGCGACCGCCGCGCCACCTTCCAGCAGAGTCTGCGCGTCCTCGACGCCGCGAAGCAGGCCCGTCCTGATCTGATCACCAAGACCTCGCTGATGCTCGGCTTCGGCGAGACGGACGAGCAGATCGCCGATGCGCTGCGGCAGCTGCGCGGGGTCAATGTGGACGTGGTCACGTTTGGGCAGTACATGCGCCCCACCAAGAGGCATATGGCCGTCCATGAGTACGTCACGCCCGATCGGTTCGAGATGTGGCGCCAGAAGGCCCTGGAGATGGGCTTCTTGTACTGTGCCTCGGGCCCGTTGGTCCGCAGCAGTTATAAGGCCGGTGAGGCGTTCATCGAGAATGTCCTGAAGAAGAGGCGCGCCGGCGGTACGGTGGGCGCCGAGTCCGTCGAGAAGAAGATCCCCGTTGACGAGATCGCGCGGTAAAATCATCAGCCCGCTTCCTCTCTCTCTTCTGTGTCTCGTTTTTCTCCTTCGTGTGCGTTGGTATATCGGTTTCACCTTTGGCGTAGGGTTAGCATGATTCGTTTCGGGCTCGGTTTTACATTCTACTTGGTTTTCACGGGGTTTGTGCTGTGCTACTACTACTACTACTTTCTACATAGACCCTAAAACTTCAATCTCAATCCCAGCTGATCGGCTGATGGGGTTGGCTGCTGGCAATCAAACATAATTTCCAAACATGTATGTTCATTTCAATGAGATATGGTCAGCGTATCAACAAGCTTTCAAATCAACGCATCATGACTCGCATAATGATCCTAAATCGGCCGTTCAATTAACCCAACTCGTTGGGCTGCAGCCTTCTGCTGCATACGTTGCAGGTGGTATGTACCTGGTTCACCCCGACAACCCTAAATGTAATCAATCTTACTCGTTCGTTCTAACTCATGACCGTCCAAAGGCGTGGCTTGATGATGGTATGACAGAGACCCGGTTGGGTGGGTATTCTCAAGCCGAGCCTCGGGCTAAAAGCAAAGGGGAAAGAAGGTATTGGAAGAAGATAATCAAGAAGAAAAAATCAACCGAGATTGTTGCGTGGGGGAATCTGGGCGAGAAAGTCTGAGGACGAGGAAATTCGTTCTTCAATGTGTGGTTTCCAGGTGTTCCTTGCCAAGCAAGCAGTTGGTGGGAAACATGATGGACCATTCAATCGTTCGGTCATGGACAGTAATTACAGACTCCAGGCCTTGGGTGGTGACCAAACTATACGAGCAGTTCTTTGACATCGTCCCGGTTGAGGCCAAGCAGGTAAAGGATGTCTACGAGGCTCTCTCCGTTGAGACGCGTGGGGGCCTCAAGCTGCACCTTGCTCTTGGCGCGCCAGGCGACTCCAAGCCCAGCCGCGTGGAGCATGAGCAGGTCATTGGCACCGTCGCCCACAGAAACGACCTGAGAAATCGGGATTCCGTTCTGCTCCGCGATCGAGTGCAACAGCGTGCGTTTCTGGGCCGCATCGATGATCGGGTACGATGGCACCAGCTTGCCTGTCAAGGTTTGTGTGGTGGGGTCAATTTCAAGCTAGCAAGGTCAGTACGGTGCCACCTGGGCCGAACACATGAAGATCAGGGTCACGTACATGGTTAGCAAAAGCATAGTCAAGACCAAGCTCGCCAGCAAGCCACTCCGCCAAAGGCTGGAAACCTCCGCTCAAAACCGCCATCTTGCAGCCAAGAGTCTTCAAGGCCTTGCACAGCTCACGTGCACCCGGGGCGATGGTGATGATCGACTTCAGCTTCTCGAAGACGTCTGCGGGGACACCCTTCAGCAGGGAGACCCGTTCCTTCAAGGATGCCGAGAAGTCGAGTTCACCGTTCATAGCACGGGCCGTAATTTCCTGTCGGCTCGGTCAGTACAGTTTTTCTCAAAACCACGTCATTCGACCAAGACTGACCGAAACTTCCTTCTCGACACCGATGAACTTGGCGATCTCATCGATGACTTCGTTCTGGATCAGTGTGCTGTCCATATCGAAGACGAAGAGGCGCTTGTGACGACGGAAAACACTCTCCCGCTGAAGCACGACCTCGACATTCCATTCCCGCTCGAAACGCCAGATGCTTTCATGTTTGCGAAGGTCTGCGAAGGTCAGGTATTCCGGGTTGGGGGGCGGGGAGAAAGTGACCTCCATCACCCGAGGGTGCTCGTTAGCCTCCAGGCAACGGTGTGAGGTGTTCGTGCGCTGGTAGGGGGTCGGAAGAGACTCGATGATCTGAAGGAAGTTGGTCAGGCAGAGTTGCGACACAAATGGGCCGTACAAGTGGTCGAGAGGCTCGGGCTCCGGCGCAGGAGGCTCCCGAGGGAGTTTCTCGATGTCGATGGTCGGGGCAGAACCGACGGGGACGGTGGGCGAGGGCAGCGTATCTCCCGGCTTAGCATGCGGGGAGGAGTCGGGGTGCAGGTGCGGGTGAATGGGATCCGCGGATTTGTAGAAGATCGTCGCGACCAGTTGCTGAGTGCCGGTTTGGAGAGGGTTGGCGTGGGAGTGAAACATGCTGTGGATGATGCCGCTCTCGGTCACCTTCTCGGGATCGGGACTGATGGGATTCGCCTTGAGGGACAAGGACGCGAACGAGGACTCGGGAACATTCCCAACATTGCCAGCATTGCCAGCGTTTCCAATCACATTTCCAATAGTCTGGATGGGGACCGACGGCTTGTATTGCTGGTGATCCTGAATGAAGGAGCTGCTGGAGAGTGTCTGTCGCAACACGGGCCGGGTTGGACGGGGGTTGGCGGGGTTGGGCGAGGCCATTGTTGAGGAGGGAGGAGATTCGATGCGCTGCGCGGAGAAGGTAGGCGGGCTCAAGAGGGGTAGGGGGTTGGAACAGAGTGGAGTGGAGAGATGATGGAAGACCCTGGACGATTCAAACAGCCCACCAGCCGGGAATACACCCTGGAGAAGCAACGATAGCAGCAAAGCGGACAAGTCGAGAAAAAAGCTGGCAAGCCGTTGTCGAGGTTCGTCGGTCGCTTTTCCCCTGCAGCTTCCATTGGAGATCGGCGGGCACGTGGGGAGAAAAGTCACATGATGAACCGAGGGGGAAAAAAGATGCCAGTTGGTGGGCTTGACCGCCTGGCAGAAATTATGATGGGTCCTTCGTTCATCCACAGTCCGACGACATCATCATCATCATCATTATCATCTTTGCCTCATGATGTGGGGTAGTTAGGTGCTTGCTATGCAAATCAACAAACCACAAGCTACTCCCACCAGGACTAACACCACACAGTTGACTACGAGTCCAAGTAGTCAATCAAAGTGGATAATCATTGAAGACCAGGGTTTGTCTGTTGCATTTATCATCATTCTTCTATATTCGACGCTAATTCCTTGTCACAGCTTACGGGGAGCCAGGTGTCCTTGATCCTTGACACTGTGGATAGACCTGCACCTGCTGCGAGAAACGGAGTACTTTATTGATTAATTGAATGATTAATCATGAGTCTAATCCGCATTTCTTCGTCTCTTTGCCGCAAGTTCCATCCGCCAAGTGAGACAACCCGCGGGATTCCTCCTCGGAGTTCATCGATTTATCAGCAGGAAGCTGACCAAAAACGGCTGAGATAAGCCGGTCCGGGGAAGCGCAGACACCGGGAGTGCAAGTATTGCGTGATTTCCCCGGAAGCTGAGAGAAGGATTTTTTTCTGCCCTTCGCCCCATCTGGCAAGCGGTCACGGGCGATGTCGTGATTGCGAGCCCTGCAGAATGGCCCAGTAAGTATGAAGGGAAGAGGCCGAAGGGAGAACGGACTCCCCGTTTTCCCGATGATGTCGTGATTGCCCCTGCCTGGTCCCTCTTATATCGGACTCTTCGAGTTCGTCCTCTGTTGTGTCTTGTCTAGTCTACATCATCCCTCGCCTCCTGTCCCTCCTCTCGCCTTTCCAGGCCCTTCTCATTATCATACAAATAGACTTGTCTACTTTCGTCTTTTCTTCCAATTCCATTACTTAAATTCTATCGCCTCTTGCCCCTCTCTATATTAGCACTACTCCTAGTCAAGATGCCTGCCAAGATGTCGGACAACTACCCCTCTGATGGCGAGGCCATTGACTCCAGAGACTCTGGTTATGTCAGTGGCAGCTCGAGTGATGACTATTCCCCTGAGATCGTCTTCACCAAGCCACACTTGAAGTTCCTCAACAGACAATTGCAATTCCTCGAGCCTCAAGGTCAGTCCGGGTCCTTCCGGGATAGTCCTGCACCAAGTAACTAACAGCATCGATGCAGATGTCCTGAGATGGTGTGTCACTTCACTGCCTCACCTCTACCAGACCACTGCCTTTGGCTTGACTGGTCTGGTCACTATCGATATGTTGTCCAAGTTGGCTGTGCCCCGGCCTCAGATGGTCGACCTGATCTTTCTCGATACCCTCCACCACTTCCCCGAGACCTTGGCTCTGGTCGACCGCGTCCGTGAGAAGTACCCTCTGAACACCATCCATGTCTACAAGCCTCAGGGCTGTGAGACCGAGGAGGACTTCGCTAAGAAGCACGGTCCCCGCCTCTGGGAGAAGGATGACCAGTTCTACGACTGGGCTGCCAAGGTTGAACCCGCCCAGCGTGCCTACCGTGAACTCAACGTGCACGCCGTCCTCACTGGCCGCCGCCGTAGCCAGGGTGGCAAGCGCGGTGACATCGACATCATCGAGGTTGACGAGGCTGGCTTGATCAAGATCAACCCTCTCGCCAACTGGACCTTCGATCAAGTCAAGCAGTACGTCAAGGAGAACAACGTCCCTTACAATGAGCTCCTCGACCGTGGCTACAAGAGCATCGGCGACTACCACTCCACCCAGCCCGTGAAGGAGAACGAGGATGAGCGCTCTGGACGCTGGAAGGGTCAGGCCAAGACCGAGTGCGGCATCCACAACCCCCGCTCCAAATACGCACAGTTTCTCATGGAGATGGAGCGTAAGCGCCAGGAGGAAGCCATCTCGCAGGCTCTTCAGACCTCCCTTACGACTTCTGCTCAATGATTCCATCCCGAGATCTGATTTCCTCTTCTTGCATATACCACGGCGTTCACATTCCATCGGAGGTTTAGCGGCGTTCACATAGCCTTGATATCACTCTTCTGCTCTTTACCTACGACTTGCTGTTTCCTGGGCCTGGAATTTTGGGACATTATGTGTCATGAATCTTTTGTCTGCTGCTTTCTATCCAAATGTACATAATGGGAACCGAAAACCATCCGACCAACCCTGATCCTTCGGGACTACTGTACATACCGGGTCGGCGGAGAAATTATCAAAAGCACTCGGTACTTTAATGACTGCAATACATCAATCTACATAAAAAAATACTTTCTTTTTACGATTAACAGAGTATGTTGCTTTCTCTATTGACTTGGAGCAGTATACCCGTGTTTCCACTAATTATGGTGCCGCCGCTGTGGGGTCCTGAACCACGCAAGATTCTCATCTGAGACACCAAGCAAGGAGCGCTGTATACATTAGATCCCACACTGGGAAGAGTTTTATACATCTCTGCAACAAGAAACAGCGCCTGTAGAAATGGACTACCATTATCGATACACAAATTTACAATCGGCAGTACTTCAGGAGAATGAGCTTGAGGTTGTCGGTATAGATGCACTCAAGGCTTGGAAGAGATACTTCGATCGAGATCGACTGCAACACAGCATTGTCTTTACAATCACGTACTTTCGTCTAAATGAGAACTTTTGGCTTCTGGAACAGCTTTGGTGATCGATCGCCAGTCGATCCTGGCTATGTCATTCGAGTTGTGAGACATCCTGACACAGCCAGTGATCTTATCTTATCAATCTGATCTGTTCGTAGAGAAGGGTTACCCACCAAGACATGCACTTTCAATCACAGACATATCCATGAACAGAAAGAGAACCCAGCTCAACCCATTTTCTACTTACGTGATAAACGGAGGTTAAATTAAGGCTTTTGTCCAGACTCCCTAACCATATACAGGAGGGTCTAGCTCTTCTGGGGTGACGTATACTTGTATCCACTGTACAACAATCGTGTCAAGCCACAACGAACGACCCTGTTGCTGGACCATGACTTCGAGATGACTTCTAAGGTACGGAGACGATGCTTGCGAGTCCAGCCAGATCTCATGATGCTACGTACTACATCCCATTTACTGCTAACCCATGGCAGCGGCGGCATCTAGGCCGTACGTAGTCTAAGAGCTGCGGCATGTCTACCACCCACTCTCAACCAAATGAATTGGTTTAGTTTTCAGATTGCAACACTACCAGATCTGTGTGGCGCGTCTCAGGTTTCCAGATGTCAGCCGTGTACTGTGCCGCGATGGACCCTGAGACCCTGAACTAGGCAGCCACGAACCTCTATCAGGACGCGATGGAGTCATGGACAGTTCCATCTGCGGGCCGCAAGGCTCAAGCGCATCCAGGTCACCTGGGGGGTGGTTTGAACGAACCACCTGTCCCGGCAGGGTCTATGTGCTACCCTGTCGAAATAAATGCTCGGTATCGCATCATTTCTCGAAACTCGGGAGGCTGCCGACCCTAGTCTCGGCGTCTAGAGATGAATCCGCCCAGTAATGCTTCCCGGCACCCATGACCATGGATTCGAGTCCTTGCGCATGATATTCGACTCTTGGCGAATAGTTCTTTCATGAATGCTCGACTATAATGTGGTGTTGAATACAAGCAAAGGTTAGGGCAAGCGGGTCACCTGAGCGGCAACATGCCAAGATCAGCCCCTCCTCCCCAGATGGCGTCAGCGATCACGCAAGCCGGACTGGGGATGTCGTGATTGTGTCTGGATACCCACGTGACCCACCGTGCCTGGGATCGGAGACGGGGAAGGGGTTCAACTTGAGTAACGAATGCCTGAGCCGATCCGCCGATCGGAGAGGCTCATCCCAACTTCGTTTCATCTCGGCTTTAACAGCTGCATGAGGATTATTCAGTCGGGATGCTGGGGCGCTTTCCCCGACACATCTATTACTACGTGTACTCATGTTAATGTTGACCTCCCCCTGAAAATCATGGCTTTTTGCGGGTTGAATGGTCTGCCATGCTTGCCTCGGATTGCCGTCGTGGGAGATTATGTGGCTGATACTGGAGGTGCACGATGACGACGACGCTGGTGCTTTTCTTTGCTCGGATCTTCGAGGGACTCGTGTCTTGGAGCAATCAGGGGGTGTTTGTGGGGAAGAAGAGGAAGTCATAGATGGACGGAATTGATTGATTGATACTTCGTATAGTTCAGAGATGCTCAAGCAACCAAAGATGGTCTTCTAGAAGCAGGCTAGAAATAAGGGTACAAGCATAGCATGCTCAAAGCCTGGAATGGCGCAATCGGAGGCAGACATCCGTACGACTGAGGGGCAAGACGAAGGCAAAAAAAAAAAAAAAAAAAAAGAAAGAAAGTCAGGTACATCCATCCATTCTACAGTTTACAGTTTGCAATTGACACAAGTGACGAGGATAACATACGTAGACCCTCCCCGAACCAAGAGTCGCGTTGCTCCACCATCTGACGAAGCCTGGATTTCTCGATTGTCTGGCCATTTTTAGTCTACCATCCCATAGAAGAATTTCCTTGGTCTTGTTCAACCAGGTTGTTTTAGTAGTAGTAGTAGTATTAGTAGTATTAGTAGTAGTAGTAGTAGTAGTAGTCGTAGGGCCAGTTTATCTCCGCGGGCATTTACTTAGTAACTTAGTCCCCCCCCCCTCTCTCTCTCTCTCTCTCTCTTGCTTTTTTACTTGTTCCCCCTCCATCCATTCCCTTCCCTTTTTCTTCCTGCCCCTCCTCTCCAATTTATAAACTCCTCTTCCTCCCCCTCCCCCCATTCGGAGTTCCCTTTTTTTCCTCCTCTCCCTCTTACATCCTCCTTTCCCCTCCTCACATTCCCTCCATACACCATGGCCAACTCTCCTCACGGTGGTGTCCTTAAGGACCTTCTCGCCCGCGATGCTCCCCGCCACGACCAGTTGGCCGCCGAGGCCGAGATTCTCCCCGCCATCTCCCTCACTGAGCGCCAGCTCTGCGATCTGGAACTCATCATGAACGGTGGTTTCAGTCCTCTTGAGGGTTAGTCGGACACTCCAGGTCCCTCCAGGTCCCTCCAGATCCAATTGCTACCGTTGGATTGCGAACCATTCGCAGGCTAACTTGAACCCAGGTTTCATGACCCAGAAGGACTTCGACGGGTATGTTACCATTGCATCGCATTTACCATGCTACAAAATCAAGCGCTTCATTCAACAAAACTTGGTGTCGAAGTTGTGAAGTTGTTGGGAAGACATTGGAAGAGATGCGAGCAGTGTGCTGATCGTCATCTCCGCTCTCTAGTGTTTGCGAGAACTGCCGCCTCGCCGATGGCAACGTCTTCTCCATGCCCATTACCCTCGATGCCTCCCAGCAAACCATCGACGACCTCAAGCTTAAGGCCGGCGCTCGTGTCACCCTTCGTGATTTCCGTGACGACCGCAATCTGGCCATCCTGACCATTGAGGACATCTACCGCCCTGACAAGTGAGTCAATACCCAGTTACTGTCTTGTGGACGTGTGACACAAAAAAAAAAAAGTTCCCCGGTGCTCGCCATGGCCTGATCGACGTTTCAAAACCAAGTTGAAGCGGGAGTGGCATCGCTTGGCGTTCCGTCGGTCTACGGCAAGCGGGCGTTACAGAGTGCCGGAGACTTGCAGATAGTGGGTCTTGATGACGCGGTTGGACGGTTGAGCTAACCAGTGCGCTTTTACCCCTGATCTAGGACGAAGGAAGCCAAGCTGGTCTTTGGCGGTGATGAGGAGCACCCTGCCATCAAGTACCTGAACACCAAGGTCCAGGAATTCTACATTGGTGGAAAGCTCGAGGCTGTCAACAAGCTCAACCACTACGACTATGTCGGTCTTCGCTGTACGTCGTCATCACCATCCGTGCGCGGGTATCTGAAACAATAAAGCAGAGCGCCAGACTGACCTAGCATCCAGACACTCCCGCGGAATTGCGCGTCCACTTTGACAAGCTCGGCTGGACCCGAGTTGTCGCTTTCCAGACTAGGTATGTGTGGCTGATCTAGACTCCGTCCTCCTTGCCCCAGGACCCGACTAACGCTCCTTCAGAAACCCCATGCACAGAGCTCACCGTGAACTGACTGTCCGCGCTGCTCGTGCCCGTCAGGCCAATGTCCTGATCCACCCCGTCGTCGGTCTGACCAAGCCCGGTGACATTGACCACTTCACCCGTGTCCGTGCCTACCAGGCTCTCCTCCCCCGCTACCCCAACGGCATGGCCGTTCTCGGTCTCCTGCCCTTGGCCATGCGTATGGGTGGTCCCCGTGAGGCCATCTGGCACGCCATCATCCGTAAGAACCACGGTGCCACTCACTTCATCGTCGGCCGTGACCACGCTGGTCCTGGTAAGAACTCCAAGGGCCAGGAGTTCTACGGCCCCTACGATGCGCAGCACGCCGTCGAGAAGTACAAGGACGAGCTTGGTATCGAGGTCGTCGAGTTCCAGCAGGTCACCTACCTGCCCGACACCGATGAGTACCGTCCCAAGGACGAGGTTCCCGCTGGCGTCAAGACCCTCGACATCTCCGGCACTGAGCTCCGCAACCGCCTGCGTACCGGTGCCCACATCCCCGAGTGGTTCTCCTACCCCGAGGTTGTCAAGATCCTGCGCGAGTCCAACCCTCCCCGCTTCAGCCAGGGTTTCACTATCTTCCTTACCGGTTACATGAACTCCGGCAAGGACGCCATTGCTCGTGCTCTTCAGGTCACCCTGAACCAGCAGAGCGGTCGCTCCGTCACCCTGCTGCTCGGTGACACCGTCCGCCACGAGCTCTCCTCCGAGCTGGGCTTCAGCCGCGAGGACCGCCACACCAACATCCAGCGCATTGCTTTCGTTGCCGGTGAGCTGACCCGCGCCGGTGCTGCCGTTATCGCGGCCCCCATCGCTCCCTACGAGGAGTCCCGCAAGGCCGCCCGTGACGCCGTCACCCAGGGTGGTGGTAACTTCTTCCTTGTTCACGTCGCCACCCCTCTCGAGCACTGCGAGAAGACCGACAAGCGCGGTATCTACGCCAAGGCTCGCCGCGGCGAGATCAAGGGCTTCACTGGTGTCGACGACCCCTATGAGGCTCCCTCCAACGCCGATCTCACCGTCGACGTTTCCAAGCAGAGCGTTCGCAGCATTGTGCACGAGATCATCCTCATGCTCGAGAGCGAGGGCTACTTTGACCGTAACTAAATTAGCTTAGCGTAGGCGCTTTCGGAAAACTTTTGTGATTTATTTTTCTTGTATCAGGGTATCATGTGGAATACAGGCAGGGCTTGTGAGATCCAGGGTGATTTAGAAGGACCATTGTCTATAGAGATTATTGACTTTGAATATTATTATTGATTCCCCCATAGTAACTATGCTACTCCGTATTTATGCTCAACTGCTCAATTGCTTTTGAAGACGGCGGGTGAAAGTCACCAAACTAAGCCCGATTGAGACAGAAATGCAAACACGCGAAACACCAGCACCTGATGGGCTCTTCCGTCTTTCAACCTTCAATCTCCACAGTTCAAGGATTCCTCCTCCTTCAGCAACACAATTATTTGTCACAACTCCAATCCCTGAGGATGTTTCCTCCTCGCATGTCCGTCTCTCGAATAGCGGGCTTCAATCGCCCGCTGCGATTGCCCGTGCCACACAGCTCTCATCACGTCATTCGACGACCATTTACACAGACTTCGCGACAGCTCGTTCTAGCCCCGCCGCCCAGTCGCCCTCAACTCGACTTCCTCACGCCCACCTCCACCAGCCTCCCTCTTCCCCCGTTGTCCATCCACCTCCGCCGGCATGTTGCCCGTCTCATCTCCACCGAGAGCCGCAACTATTACCGCCGACGCATCTCCGGCAGCCTCAAGCTCGCCCTCTCATTCACCGCCATCCTCCTCCTGTTCAATGTGGTCCAAATCGGCGTTAACCAAGCCGAGCTCGAACACCAGTGGCCCACGCCGGACGAATGGTCGTGGAAGAACCGCTGGCGACTGCGGTCCGCGCAAGCGCACCAGAACCCGGAGAAGATCGGCAAGCTCATGACCGACTGGGCCATGGTCCGGAGTTTCCTGCGGGACCTGCTGGAGCAGCTCGAGGATCCGGAAGGCGAAGGCAAGGGCATCGTGGACCAAGCCGAGGGCGGATTCCTGGTGGACGGGGTTGGGAAAACGGGCTTCGACATCACGGCCAAGAGCGAGCCGTGGCGACGGGGCTACTACCAGGCGCTGATGGGCGCCGCCAAGGCGGCCGAGTCCCTCGAAGGCTGGATGACGGATCGCAAGCAGCTGATCTCGGCGCCGGCCGAGTACGTCGTCGGGCCGTCCAACCCGCGGCCGAAGCCCATGCCCACGAAGCAGAAGAAGGTCCTCCACGAGGCGGACTGCGAGCCCGCCTCCCCGCCGCCGCAGTCCTTCTACGTGAAGATCCTCACGACGCGCGGCTTCACCACGGGCCAGAAGGTCGAGGCGGCGCTCGCGTACGCGGACTGGCTCGCCTACAAGGGCCTGGCCGCCACCGCGGATGAGGTGTACCAGTGGGCGATGGACATCGCGGTCTCCGGCAGCACTTCGTCCAGCAACGACCATCAGCAGATCGTGGACCCGCAGACCGGCATCCTCCGCAACGACGGCCAGCACTTCCCGTCCGAGAACATCCTGCGCGTGTCGACGGCGCAGGCCGTCCACCAGGCGCGCCAGGGCCACCTCCCGGCCGCGCTCTCGATCTTCACCTCCGTGCTCAAGGCCCGCCGCTCCATCCCCGCGGGCGTCGGCGAGCCCACCACCGCCTACACCCCGACCCTGCCCCGCTCCCCGGACCCCTTCCGCTCCTTCTTCAACAAACTGCAGACCACCCTGCGGCCCGCCGCCTACCCGCCCCCGCCGCCCACCGGCGACGCCCCGCCCGCCCGCACCCCCGCCACCGTCTGCGACCAGGCCGCCCTCATGACCTACATCGGCGAGATCCTCTTCGCCTCCTCCTCCCAGGAATCCGGCCTCGCCTGGACCCGCGACGCCGTCGACATGGCCGAGGCCACCCTGCTCGAGCTGGCCGCCGCCGGCTCCGGCTCCGACCCCGAGCCCGTCGCCAACGCCCGCTGCGCCGACTGCCTCCGCGTCGGCCTCGCCAACTGGAAGACCATGGTCAACCAGCTCATCGCCCGCGCCGAGCAGGAGGAAGACGAGGCCGTCGAGAAGGCCGCCCACCAACGCACATCGTCTTCGTCATCGTGGTCATCGTGGCTCCCCCTTCGCGGCAGCAGCAGCAGCAGCAGCGCAAGCCTGGTGCAGCAGAAGATCCTCGCGCGCAAGCGCTGGGAGGCCGAGGGGATGATCCTCGATGAGCGTCGCGCCCGGCTCGACTGGCTGGTCGAGGACTATTCGCCCTACGAGGGCTTGGCGCCGAACGCGTCGCTCTTCACCTAGTTTTTGTCCTGCGGGTGTTGAGATGAAACTGTAGGATCTTGACGCGTCTGTTTTGCTTTTTGGTGCTTGTGTATACTTGAGCCTTGGTTGCGGGAAACCTCGGGTTTCTTGTTTTGTTGCATGCATGCAGGTTGGAGTTTTCGGGGGGGGGTTGCGTTGGTCTACTGTACATAAGGAATTTTCTTTGTTACTCGAATCGTTCCAGATATGGGCATATGTGACGGGGTAGGTCAGTTGATACCTGCCTTCACTATTATGAATGATCCTTCTTAGGAAAACTGCTCCTAATCTGTATTGATGGGCTAGGGTAGGGAACACACAAGAACAACTTCTCAGATACTCTACTACTCCCCAACTAGGCTTTATACTTGAGCTTCAAAAGAGTTGGTTTGGGTCGGGCAGGTTTATTGACATTGCGAGCGCGAGTGCTAGTGCTAGGAGTACAAGTGGGTTTGATATTATGATGGATTGCGCAAAAAGGATTGAACCACTAAACGTTCACACACCAGTGTCATCCTCCGACCACGTTCCCATTCGGCAAGGTGATTTGGTACTGATCGAAGTTCAGAGTGAAATTCCCCTTCACGCCGGCGGGAGCCAGGTCAATGGCGTGGATGTGTTTCGACTCCTCGGTATACACATTCGTCAGGTACAGCTGCAGGTCGTTCCCCGCGAACGTGGCAGCCGAGAGGGTGCCGGTCTCCTGGAAAATGTACAGGACCGAGATGCGAGCGAAGGTCAGGGCTTTGCTTGTGATCACCGTGGTTGAATTGGAGGATGAAGACGCAGCCGCCGTGGACGTGGGCGAGGAACTTGCTGCTGCTGTCACCGTCGAGGTCGTTTGGGATCCGGGATGGCGGACATCCGTGGCAGTCGCTGCATGAGTGGCTGTTGCTGCTGTGGCGGTGGCGGTGTCCGTCGCAGCTTGTCCGGTAGTGGTCGGTGGGGTGTCATCGAAGATGATCCCGTTCTCTGTAGCAATCGAGGCACGGGCAGCAAGGACTTGCGTGGGCAGGTTCGGCGTGGCCGAGGTCGGCGGTGGTTGTTCGTAGGCAAAGGGCAGTGGGTTGGAGTTGGAGGATTCCGTCAGGTCATACCAGGGAAGGAAAGCACGGCGGGATTTACTACTGCTGCTGCTCGTCGAAATGCCGGAGAAGGACACCAGGCTATTCTCGGTCGTGCACGAGACATTGTTCTGGCTGAACAACGCCATGATAGTCGTCTCATCCAGTGAGATGCTGTAATTCTGCTGGGCACCTTCAAATAAGTCTGGAAGATCACTACCCATGGTGGCACTCTTGTTGTTGATCTTGGCTGTAACACAGCTGGCATCGCCGGCAGTTGCGCAACGACTGCCTGTAAACCCATTGGCGCAGACACAGGAGCAGACATTGCCGCTCGAAACACTGACACCGCCATTCTCACACGGTGTTGTCTTCGCACAGTCAGACCCGCTCGACTTGTGCTTGAGAACGACCAAGCAAACAGGGATTAGAACAGCGGCCAAGATGATGACGATGATAATAACACAGACAAGTCCGAAAAGCCATGGGGGCATGCCACAGCAGCGGCGGGCCTGCTTTGGTTGGGCTTTTTCCTGGTCCACTTCTTTGGGGGGCTCGTTGGAGTGGATTTGATGTAGCGTGGACCTTCGAAAAAAGAAAGGCCAGGATGAGTGAGCACCGTCCTGTACCGCAGCAGGGGGTGGGAAAGATGCTAGAATGCTCTGGATTGATCCCGAGTTACGTCTCTGATCTGTTTATCGTATCAGCATTCTGTGATATAATGATCAGACACGACCAGGCCACTTACGAAAACGAGGGTTGCCTCCATTGAGTAAGTCGTTTCTGCTTGCAGTTCGGCCATGCTCGAGATTAGACGCGAGTTTGGTCGCTCGGCGAATCAAATCAGGTAAGCTTGTTAGACTTCCACGTGCCTCTGCATCACGAACAGCGGTCATATTCAATCGAGGAGGTCGACGGCCCATTGGCCTAGTTTCGCTTATTGTCGGCGCTGCCTTCGGGAGCCCTCCAACCTCTTTCCTCAGGGCCGCATTGTTATCGTAGGGGCGAGCCAGAGCGGGATGTTCAGCACTCAGATCCAGCATAATTGGCGCTTTCTCCGTCCCGAAATGTGTCGAGCCAGACGATACTGTTGACATGCTGTCGTTCCGCTCTCTTCCAGCAGCTATCTCTTTCAAAACCGCCGCCGTGGCCGCAGTATCGGCCGTAGTTGGTCTGGCAGACACCGGGGTCTTCTCCGATGGCGGTACAGGCGAGTTTGTACTGGGTTTCTGGATTGTGCGCAATGCAGGCTTTCCACGGGTTCCAATACTTGCCTGCCTCAGAAGGGCAGGGGCGGCTACCTGCAAAGAATGCTGTGATTCACTATCATCGGAGTCGCCTTCCAGGTAAGTACCTAATATCTCCGACTCAGCCGGTCCAGAGCACCAACTGGGAGGATATGGTCGACTTGGCGCGTGAAGCTCTCTTGAGATCGTGGGGCTATCGGGCAATTCCTCAGGAATCGGTGAGACGGAGGAACCACGATTATCAGTTGGTCGAGCAGCTGGCATCGGCGGAGCAAGGCCACCCGCTTTTTTCAGCGGAAATTCCGAAGAAGCAACATGCTCCGTGGGTGATGAATGAGCCGTCCCCGGCAGGTCAGTAAGAGAAATTGTACCGACTGACGAAACTCCCGACTGTCTGAATAGGTCCTCGGTAGCAATGGATGCCCGGGGCGTCGAACCTGCAAGAGTGCTTGGGCTAGGAGGGATTGGAATTCTGATTGCTGGTCGCGAAGCATGTTGAATCGGGAGAGGTTGCGAGAAAGACGGAACAGGCCGTTTGATGTTTAGCGGGCTAGGTACGACGTCAACGCTTCTTTCTGAGTACACAGAAGGCGAAGGGCAGTCGGGCCGTGGGGGTCGCTGTGGTGGAGGACCTTTAGGAACTAGTAGTCGCGCGTGGGCATTGGCTACGTCGATCTGCTGAAGGCCATCGTTGGGTAGGGGCCATTGTGTCAGATGAGCCGGATTGGTCCTGAAAGTCGACACTGGTTCTGGAGCTGGCTCGGGACGTTTTCCAGCTTTCAGCATCTCCCTTGCTCGTCGTACTGATCCTTTTCTCTCTACGGGCTCAGAGCCCGTATCCTCTGGGTTAGGTTCCATGTGTTAGCGTGGAACAGGAGGTGATAACTGCAGCAACGCGATATGATGTCGCGGTGAGTGAGTTCGATCCTTGCTAGCGCATAGAACAAGAGCTGGTACCGCTTCGCTGCTGGCAATTGATCGTTGACGAAAGGTAACTCAACCGCGGCGTTGATAAGCGAGCGATTGCAGACACGTTGAGTGGGCGAGACTGATAGGAGTTTGATAAGTCGCGTTTGTCCGTTGCCTGATGACAACAGTCTTGGAATTTCAAAGGAAGGTGGATGTGGTGAATGATCGTAAGGGCACTCAATGCCTCTAGAGGGGACAAGTAAGTTCAATGTTGCAAGTCGGTTGGTGCACATCGTAAACAGCGAGACGATCGAGGGTGCATACCACAAGAAACAGGTCTTACTCGAAAAAAATGAAGGAAGAAGCAGTCAAAGACTCAAAGTCACAAGAACATAGTATAAGACTTGCAAAGTCTAAGAAGAAGCCCCGGCTGGTCACCAAGCCCCTGAGCGCATAGAGCAGAAATTGAAACTCAGCAAGCCTTCATCATGATTCATCTAAGACACGAAATAGGAACTTACAGAATCTCCCACAAAGAAAAGAAGAACCGTCCAAAGGGATCGAAGGAGCCTCTAGCCCTTACCCCCAAGAGAAAAGAGCGGACGACTGGACAGTACGAAGTAAAAAGAGAAGAAAACAACCCCCCGCGCGTGTATAGACGGCAAGCAGGTCTTTGGGCGATAACGCCTCACACGGACGGAAAGTCAGGCCCAGGGGCTTCCGGAAACCCAGCAAACCTAAAAGTCGGAGGTTGATACTAAAGACATTTCATTTCCGTGCTTTGCCCAGGGACTGGACTCAAAGCAGGGTGCGCCGGCGCAAACGTTTGGGAGTCACACCCGTTCAAGTCTAGGTGGAGTTGGAGCCAAAGCGATAGCGCGGAGATAGGCACGGGAGGTCGTTTGTGACGGAAGGGATTCGGTCCTTAGGAGCACCGGATGTCCTGCTAAACTGCTACTAGGCTTCAAGATAGTCTAACCGCCGCAAATATGCCGTAGTTGTTCTCACTTCCCAGAGTGGGTGGTGCCTCGTTTCATGGAGATGCGCCGGACGCAACAAATCGACACCCGCGGGGATGATCAATTGATATGGAATCGATGGTATTTCTTTGTTTCAATTTACTTTTTTCCCCTTCCCCTCGCTTGCAGATAATCTTGCACACACAATGCAAACGGCTGCTGGATTATGGAGACCCCAAGAGTCGCAAGATTATGCATATGGCGGTCATTTTGACCGGGGAAGTCGAATAGGCGAGACGGCAAGGACCATAGACAGGCCAGAAATTGAGATCCTGAGTAAACGGGAGGAGCTAAGGGACCGCAGCTAAGACCCATAATGGAGGAAATACAAGGGACGGCGAGCGGCCATTGGGCGGGCGGGGCACACCCAAGACTCGCAGAGGGACCAAAGAGCATGGCGGTTGACACTAGAGTCTCAGCTTGAGCAAAAGTGCCACTTGCTGGAGAGCGGCATTGCGGCCCTGGAACTTCAACATGAAACCAGTGATGAAGTCCATCCATGGGTGAAGGTCCAATGATGGTGCCGAACGAGCAACCGGAAACACGGGCGTCGGAGGCGAGAATCACGAATCGCATTCACTCCTCAGTGGGCAGAGAATGGGGAGAGTTCCACCGGGAATTCATGAAGCGAGTCAAGCGACGTGTGCACCGCGGGTGATTCGTGCAATGATGTGGTCATGTCCTTCCAGCGGTAGTGCTGACGGCTCCAATCCATGGATCAGCATCATACTGTAATAACCATTATCATTATCACGATTATAATAACAATAATCAAAACAAGGGCTAGTCGGGATTCTTAGGCCATTCTCGCCAGGATAGTCGCTCGGGCACAAGGCCAGTTTGAGGTTAGCGAGGTACCGAAGCCATTAAAATGAATAAAACAGAGTTTATCGCTTAACAGCCTCTGTTATGATGGTACGTATGGTTTATTGTTCTGGCTGGCAAAGATCATATGAGGGACCTGCCACGCGGGAAAGATGCAGGAGAATGGATAAGAATAGTTCCAGTCTCCTCTTTTTTTTTTCTTTTTTCATTTATTGCGGGACTAAACCGAGTGGAGGATGGATATGATGGATGATGAGGAGGAGGAGGAGGAAGAAGAAGCAGAAGAAGTACGGAGTAGAAGGCAGCAGGAGAAGAAGAGAGAGGGACGGAGGCAGGCGGAGATGAAACAGGCCGAAAAAAAGAGAACCTCAGGCTACAAGCAAGTCTTTCTCTTCTCTTTCGCCCTCTCTCTTTTGATCCCCCTTTTCCTCTATGCCTATCCCTAGAAGTGGTTCATAGTCTAGTTCTAGTTCTAGCTCTAGCATCCTTCACAAGTTCACAACGCTATCATCTCATTATCCTGGGACCTGGGTCCATTTGACTCCATCAACCATTTTACAAAAATAGATCGGCTCTGTCTACAGGACTGACAACCGGCGAGATCCGACAATGTCTCTACAATCCCGAAGAATTGATTGAAGGTGGAGCTGAGGTCTTCTAGAGCTCATTAAGAACATGTCCATAGCTCGCTGGTTCATATACAAAGACTCCATCTTCCGATGTTCGTGCTGCGGCTATGTCTGCGAGGACATCTTCACTTATTCTTGGCCTATCGCACTTCTTACCTTCTTAATCTGCTGCTCCACCGCGCGCATCTCAACAACAACATTGGCCAGTTCCGAGACCTGGCCCTCGACAGCTCCGGTGAAGGACTCCTGCGCGCTACGCAAAGAAAGGGGCACCAAGATCCCGTACCAGTAGATCGGATCCGACGACCGAAAACGCTTCTTCGCCTTCTTCGACTTCGTATCTGTCTCCACCCCTGCTAGAGGAGTATCCGCAGCGATTCCTGAGGCAGCAGCTTGGTTTGTGCTTTCTCCGATGTCCTTGGACCCATCGTCTTCTGCATTTGCAGTACCTTCCGTTGAAGAGGATTCACTTTCGTCGTCTGTGTTGGATCGCTCATTGGGCTGCTCGACAGTAACGGATTCGATTGCGAAGTTATGCTGGAACCCGCCTGTTGAGGGAGTCTTCTTCCGAGTTTCTTCTTTGGAAGTCGAGTCGGCCCCCGAGGCTGAGTGGGAGGCCGCTTCTTGTAGGTTCCTGTATAGGTGCGATATATTGATTGGTTAGGCGTTCTGCTAGACAGGAGGGCACTCTCGGAGAAACCCAGGTGTGTTGGGACTCACACTCTCCTTGTCGCCTTCATGCGCTCATCGTAGTAATCTGCTCCGTATCTGCGCCCAGTTGAACAAACAAAGTTTGCATGCGCGAGGGAAATGAACCCCTGGTGAATCTTAGCGATTGTCTGCCAGCGACGTGTGGTAGCGCCATGCACAGTCGCAAACATACTGAGGACAGTCGGGCACCCAAATCGGCTTGCAATTGTTGATGCTGATCTAAAAGGTGAAGGTACCGCTCCAGCAAATCGTCCAGCATCTGCAGATGATCCAGTTGCTGTTCAGGCTTCTCTTCATTGGAGTCATGTTCCGTGGAGGGTGAACCATGGCGGGAAGCCGGAGGGGTCGGGATCTGCGCCATTGGGTTACAAGCAGTAGATATAGAAGATCAGATGTGAGCCAGATAGAAGATCAGAGCGCCGATCAGGAGTTTCTTTTGGATATGACAGGCGCTGGTTGTTTTGGTGGAGGAGGACGAGGGGGGAAGCTTGAAGGCGGCGGAGACCCCGTGGAGGAAGGCCGGGCGGGCGACTAACTCCGTCATCGCAACCTCCGCCGAACACCAAAAGAATTTCCCGAGATTCTCCATTAATTGTTCCCTGCCTTTTCTCTCCGCGCCTCCTCCTCCTTTGGCCTCACCCTTCCCATTTTATAATTGAGCCTACCTGTTGTGTCTCGTTTAGTTCATTGTGTGCTGAACTGAACACCTGTGAAGTCTCCTCAGGACTAAAAACGTGACCCGGTCTTTGGTTTACTTGCTCCGAACAGCGTCTCTTCCGACGCCACTTCGACTTGCGCTGGTTCTCAGGTAACTTTACCCCTCTATCCGACAATCCTCGCTACTCCAGACGCTCTGAGTGATATTGGCTCACTGATCACGGTCGGTTTGGAATGGCTCGCCACATACTGACTTGAGTTCGTTTCTTCTAGACACTTCGCAGTCCAGCATTTCGGAAAAGACGTGCTCGGAGATAGCCGCATTTGGGTCTTTCAGGCATCATCCATCTCAGCGATTCTCTTCACTTCATCCTTCCTCGTTCAACTATCTTATTCTAAAACCACCCCTCTCCACTCTTATCTAAAGCCCTATCATCATGTCTGTCCCTACGATCGGGCGCGATACGGCCTTCCAGGTCCGCTCCTTGGTATGTTTCCTTTGTTGTTCATGGAGAGCCGGATTATGTCCTGTGGCCAGCTAGAACTTGGAGACTGATCGCCCATGCTTACTCGTGTAGTTCCGTTCATTGTTGCGTCAGTCCTCCCAGTTCTCGAACTACAACTTCCGCGAGTACGCCCGCCGGCGCACAGCGGATGCCTTCCGCGAGCATCAGAAGGAGACGGAAGATAGACGGATACAAGAATTGATCCAGGATGGAATCCAGAACCTGCGGATGCTGAAGGTTAGTCATACCAGGCGGGTGTCATGGCTTCGGGGTTTCTCGGGCCCAGCATCGCTGCTCCAAGGCACTTCGCCGGTTTTACTGAAGATTGAAACTAACATACAATCCAGCGTCAAACCGTGATCAGCCAGTTCTACCAGATGGACAAACTGGTTGTCGAGGGTCAGGAGACAGTGAGTACTCTTGGGGGATATTCACATCGAAGTCCCAGCTAACCGGGAAACCAGGGCAAGCAAACTGGTAGCGAAGGTGGCATTGTTCGCCAGAAGGATACTGGGTAAGATGGATATCCTCGACATGCTTGTCCAATTCTTACTGACCGGGGCATAGCTGGGACTAAACAAATTATATATGCGATTCTTGATTTGCCGGCGTAGGAACGGAGTTGCTGGGGATTGATCTTGATATCTTGCGCCGCCGATGAAGGAGTGATTGGATAGACTGGAGGTGCTCTTGTAATTTTATCAAAGCCGACTCACCGCGTACGTTGTAGGTAGCACCGATGCTAACTTCTCTGAAAATACCATTCTTCTCTCTCCAACCACTTCGACTTCAACTTCTTCAATGTCCGTAATGTTTGATTGGAAATCAATGGATTCTGCCATCAGCCCCAGTCACGTGGGTCCGGGGGTCTGCTGTTGCCGCCTTCGGTCGCATCGCGACCATCAATCAAGCAATCAACCATTCCCATCCCAAACACTCCTCGGATTCACCGTCACGCTCTCCTTATTCGTCTCGTGCAACCAGGCGCATATCCTCTCTGCATTTTGTGGATGGGCGACAGACCTCACAGTGTGCATTTCATCCAGGCCTGGGAGTGAGCAAGCAGCATCAGACGCTCACGATGCCACCTACCGTAAGTTCCTCGCCGACAGCTTCCATGCCGAGATTAGCACCAACTCCGCGTGTCCCAATGCTCGAACAGAACGGTTGAAATGGGACACAATCTACTATGAACCTAGAATTGACCCTCTGCAGTTCAGATCCTCTCGCTCCGGGCGACAATTCGGTGACGCCGCCAACCGCAACCGGACGGGTCAGGTCGATCACGACGTGTTCGAAGGACTCCCCGTACGACGATGGACGCGCCAGACTCAGACCGTATCACAAGAGCCTAAAAGCGAGGCGCCCGACTCCAATGACGCCCAAGGTCCGGGAGTGCGACCCACTATCCCCGAGCACCCAATGCCCCGAGACAGCCACCTGTTGACCCCGGCGAGTCGAGCGCTCCTGCGTGCAGCCCGCGCAGGCTGCATCTATATCCGACAAGCTTCGAAGGAATTTGAAGACGAGGAGAAGGAGGCGACAGATGGAGAGGAACAACCTTTGATCCAGAGCACGGAACGCAATTTTGTGACCCGCAAGTGGACGTCCGTCCCGAAGCATCTCGAGGCCGTGGAGGTGGAATTCCTTGCCAAGAGACGCCCGGGGATGCCATCTCTGTATGGTACGTCTGCAAACGCAGATGGATCTAGTGCGGGCCCGATGAGGCGGACTCGGTTCAAAAAGGTCGATCCGGCTACAGGGAACATTTCGATATATGAGGCTTGGGTGCCAGAAGGACATAAGATTGAGGGAGAGATTACCGATGACGCTCAGGTCGCTGCTCCGAGTAGCACTGTCACGGTCACTCCGGAGGCCCCCGCTCCAGGAACTGTCATCGAAGGTGTTGGGGTGGTCAACGCAGAGGGCGTCGTCGTTGCGGAAGCCGGTTCGGTGAATGTGATGACACCTCCGAAGAGGCGGCCTCCCCCTCCAAAACGCAAGGCCAAGGGGGTCGGAAAGGGAAGAAGAAAGAAGGTCATGTTCGCTCCTGGCGACGGTGCGGATGCTTCTCAGGTGCATGGGGTAGGGGGGGCTGATGGTGCGGCAGACAAGGAAGATGGCACGGATCCCTCGAGGTTGTCCGTTGACCAAGCCGGCCAAGACGATGACGATGAGGAAGGCAAGGAGGCTGATGAGAGTGACGATGGTGATGAGTCCATGCTTGATGCAAAGACACCAGAAACATCGGTACCACCGACAAGCACTGAGCCCTCAGCTGCTCCGGAACCCCTGCCAACACCGGCACTGGCAGTTGCTGAACCGCAGCCACCAGCTCTCGAAACCCCTTCTGCTGCTGTCTCTGAGACGCCTTCACAACCTACAGTAATGCCACCAGCTCCTTCCGAGCCTTCAGAAGTATCTCTCGGTACCTCCACGCCGGCTTTGACCGAAAAGCCGATTGAAACCTCAGCACAACTCGAGGACGTGGAGATGGCGGATGCCACACCTCAACAGGAGCAAAGCATAAACTCTCCTTCCCTGCAGGCACCAGTTTCACAGGAACAGACGATTCAAGAAAGTGCAAAGACAGCCTCGCAGTCACCATCTCAAAACACACCCCAGGCACTAGTCCCAGAGACACTCCCAACCACCGCAAGTACGGAACAGACTGCTCCGGAATCATCAATAGTTGAGCCATCGGGAAGTGCTAATGAGACAGTTGGGCAACCGACGGAGCAGCCCCAACACGATGAGGATACAGTCATGGAAGATTCCGGGGCCCTCCCGGAAACTGCTCCCAAACCCGACTCTGAACAATCAGCTCCTGAGCGTATGGTTAATCAGACATCCGACGCTCAACCCAATGAAGAAGGTACTGAAACTAAGGGGTCCGATCTACTCTCCTCGTTGGAAGCAAGCCTGGAGCAACCATCAGAAGCAGCTCAGCCGAGTGAGCAAACGAATGAGGTTGAGATGCGTTCAATTGATCAGCCTGCTGTCACAGAGCCAATCGCGGAAAATACGCCTCAGACCACCAGCGCAGCGGCGACTACTGTTAACAACGCATCTGCAGATGTCACCGACTCGGTTTTGGAGCGGCCCGTGGAGCAGCCCGCTGCTCCTAATCAGGCAGAACAGGCTTCTCAGCCACCTTCTGAGCAATCAGGCCCTCAGCCAACTTCTGAAACGCCCGAGCAGACTACAGGACAGATCCCAGACGATGCTGCCGCTCCGGCTGCAGCCCCGGCTGCTGCAGAAGAGCAAGCGGACCAGCCAGCTATTGAACAACAACAGCCTCAGGTTGAGAATTCGACAACTGACCAAACCGCATCGCAGGCCACGGAAGCCTCTGCTGCTGAGTCTGCGGCTCCGCCTGCGAACACATTGGTTGAACCGCCAGCCGAGCCAATACCCGACCAGTCAACATCCACGGAGCAGCCTTCAGAGCCCCCGGTCCAATCTCAACCATCTACCGAAGTGCCTGAGGAGCAAAAGCAGCCCAGCCCAGAGAAGCCTGCTGCCGTTGCTTCTTCGGAGGCAACGCCTACGCCAGCACCGCAGCCATCACCGCCTCAAGAGCAGCCGCAGCAACAGCAACAACAGCAACAGCAACAGCAACCTGAACCCGAAGCCCCCGAACCACCTACCCCATCCACCCCTCCCGTGCCTGCGCCTGAGCTCCCATCAGAAACACCACAGTCCGAATCTGTACCTGAGCCTCAGCAACCTCCAAACCAACCCCAACCCCAAGAACCTGAGACCCAGGATTCGCAGCCCCCCAGCACCATTGCCGCACCCCAAGACCCACCACCAACCGAACCCCAACAACCCCCAGCTAACCCGGAACCCGTGGAATCTGCCCCCGACTCAACCAGCGCAAACACGGATAAACCTGCCGAGGACCCAACCACCACCGCGTAACTTCACCCCCCGAACTGGACGATCCCTCACCGGGAACTTTCCTCCCTAAGCTTCACCGATCCCGAACAAAAGGCGCAAGCAAGGTGTTTTTGGTGCACACGTTCAGTCCCCATTCGAGCCACCTTTGGGTTATCTGGGACCAGGAATGATCTATGTGTGGGGAAACTGTTTTATGTATATGGTTTACAATTCAATCTAAATAACTCTTTCCGCCCCTTTCATTGTCTTAGTCTTTCTTCTTTGCCTCGTGAAGGGGGTCAGTATAGTTTTACTACCGCGGAAGTTGCCAGTGGTGGTTCTCGTATACAGCGCGTCCCGGTCCCGTAGGATATATGTAGGCCGACGAGCCAGTGCCCGTCGATCTACGTGAGCAAGCAGACGACAAATATGTGGTCCGCATATACGGGGGTAAACATGTTGTAACCAACCCTGTCCACCTAGTAATAGCGTATAGTTACGTCCTGAGTATGCCATCACCTGTCCCTTCGACGTGCCAACCGTACTGCCAGAGCACGCATGTCGATCACGTGATATAGACACAACACCCGGGGGTACACCCACAGCACTAGACCACCAGGACAAACAGACACAAGGTACTGTACAGCACAGTACCGCACTGGCGAGGGATCTGATCAACTCACCCATACCGACCGGACGGATGGATAGCAAGTTACTAGACAAATCCAGCCATTGCCGCCCCAAAATATGCCGCCGCACCGGTCACATGACATCATACGCAGTCCAACAATCAACAATATCGCTGGGGAAGGATCGTGACGCAGAGACATTCCTACACAGGGCCAGACGCCAAAAGAAAAGCAGAAAAGAAAAAAAGAACCCCCCCCAAAGAGATCAGAGAAGTTGACTCACTCACATAACCCACGGATGGATGGCATTAACGGGATCACATTAGAGGACGACGAAATCATACATGAAATCAACATACAATTGGGAAGTTGGCCGAAACACCGGGGGAACCTGAGAGATCGAGAGGAATGAATTCCAAGTTCTGGAGAGGAAGAACAAGAAGAAGAAGAGGCATCAAGGTAAGAAGTTTTGACAAAAGTAGAAAGGACAGAAGGGGTAAAGGGGTCGGGGGACGGAGGGGTTTGGTATATTGTTTCACCATGCAATCGATGCAGGCTTGGATAGATGGAGGTAGACGGTTGTCAAAGAAGATTCGCTTCGCAAGAGAAATTAGATTCGATCCAATCCTGAGGGGAATAGGTCTCACAGGATGAAGACGAGAAAGAGAAAAAAAGGGATAAGGGGGATGTAAATCTCGAGTCCATTGCGAGATTGCAAGCAGAAAGAAAAATACGTGAAAATAAAATGCAGTAGAGGTCCTTTCCAAATGTTGTTACCAGCACGCCAAAGGCGAACAAAAAAAGCACCTCTCAAAAAATCTACGAAGGGGTCAGTTACCAGAACTTGAAACGAACAGCAGTTCATCCAAAATTCGAGGGAGCTGCGATTGCGGTATCCGGGAACTTCTATTTCTTGCTCTTCCTCGGAGACGTGGTCTTCGTAGTCTTAGTGGCACGCTGCGGCTTCTTAGGGATCTGCTTCACCACTTTGCCAGGTGATTTGGTCTTGGAGGTACCCTTGCTTTCTTCCTTCTTTGAT